GCCAGCGATGTTCCCGGACGTTTGCTCGGCTGGAGCATCTCCAGCGCCACGATCGGTCGCGTGAGTCGCTTCCCTGATCCCTCTTCTCTAAATCCACTGACCGCTTCGGTAGACACCAAAGAGAAGCCGTATGTCTGCGACAAGTGTCCAAAATCGTTCACTCGCAAGTAAGTACCGCATTGAGCAACGAGAGGATCGAAAGAAGAGAATATACTAAGTGCTTAGGGATCTCTTGACCCGCCATGAGCGATTGTCCCATAGTTCACCATCCGGTAACCGCGACACCGACAATCGTGGCCATCCAACGCCCGCAGCATCATCCAGTGACCATGTGTTGGATGGGCTGAATATCCTTGCGTCCGCCGTGGCGGATCGTACCGTGCCCACTCCTCATGGGCCTCCTCGCGGGCCGCATCAGCATCCACTCTCGGCCAGCCAAGGCTCATTTTCTTCCGGTCGGCCGGCAGCCGCGGATCAGACGCCTCTCGCCGGCCATTCTTTACAATCAGCACATTCCCCCAGCGCAGCCGAAGCGACTGCTGGTTTTGGTGAAACTTTCTCCGGATACACTACGTCCAACGCATACGACGGTGACGACTTCACGTCTTTCCTTGACAGCATTCCTCTTCCCAGCCACCCTTACTCGCCGACGTATCAGCCCCTACCTGTATTTCCCGCGTGGAACTTTGATTCGACTTCGGAGTACGCTCATTCAGTTGACCGATCAGGCACGGCGGACGCAGCAGTGACACCGTCGAGCTCGGTGCTTCCTCGTCATGGGACGCAGTTGCCCTCTCTTCAGCCCGAGAGCCCGCAAGCCTCCCATAGAGCGCGACAGCCGAAGGGGGCTATCTTTGTCACAACACTGTGTCGCGACAGAATAATTACGCTGCTCGCTGATTACGCCAATGTTCTACCAGATCCCTACATCCCGTCTCGACACGCTTTGTCCCGATGCCTTACAGGTTATCTGTCTGGATATCACGATCATTACCCATTCATGCACATCCCCACCTTGAACATTGAAACTGTGAGCTTGCCGCTGTTTCTTTCCATGGCAGCATTAGGCGCTCGGTACTGTCGGGAACCAGATACAAGTTTGAGTCTGTATCGAATCGCAAGGACCGTTACCATGGAACATGTTCGGAGGACGTATCAGTTTCCCGGGACCGGTCAATCTTCCGAAAAGTTTAGACTTTCGGCTCCTGGGGCTCCTGAAAGCCAAGATCTACTCGAAACGATCCAGGCATTATTGCTGCTCCATTCAGTCTCATCATGGTTCAAATGCGATCCGCCCCATCACGAATCCCTCTTCATGCGGAGTTTTATGGAGACAATGCTCCGACAGGGAGGACTGAACGAGCTGCCTGAGCAGGATGGCTCATGGGAGAGCTGGATACGCCGGGAGTGCGTGAAGAGGACCTCACTCATTGTTTTCTGCTATTTCAATATCCTCACCATTGTCTTCGATATCACACCACTCATTCTCACCGAGGAAATCACTATGGATCTCCCATGCAGCGAAAAGGAATGGCATGCCGCAAGTGCCGTTGCTTGGATGCAAGAACGCAGTCAAACTCCGCCAGAACCAAAGCTGCAAGACGCGCTCTCGTCTCTTTTCACTCATCCTACCACACCAAAGGCAAACCTGGAGACGTTCTCCTCTTTGGGTGGATATGTACTGATCCACGCCATTCTGCAGGATATCTGGCTCCTCCAAAAGGCACGTCGCCTGCCCTTGTCGAGAAACAGCTCACTATCTACAGCAGAAGCCTTATCCCTAGAACAAGCGCTAGAACAATGGTGTCAATGCTGGGAGCGCAACCAGGAATCCTCCATAGATCCATTTAACCCTCATGGGCCTCTCTCTTTCACCTCCACCGCCCTACTTCGTCTAGCCTACATCCGCCTCAACGCGGACTTTACCTCCGCACGGCGTCTGCAAACCTGGGAACCGAGCCAGATTGCGCAATCCCTGCACCAGAACCTTTCCGTGCAGCGGGGCGACCGGCTGACACGGGCCGCCTTGCACTGCGCTCATGCTCTGAGCACGCCCATCAAGCTCGGGATCAACTACGTAGCTCACACGCTGGTTACGTCCTGGTCGAACCAATACGCACTGTGTTCGCTGGAATGCGCGGTGCTACTGGCGAAATGGCTCGAGAAGGTGACGGTGCCGAATCCTCATCCCGCCTTGACGGAGCAGGAAAATAAGCTTCTAGAGTTTGTGATCGAGATGGTTATGGAGACACAGCATGGTAGCAGTCGGGAATGGTTGTTGGAGAACAATACCCGGCTGAGTGCAATTGTCACTCGCCTTTGGGGCAGATTGTTTACGACGGATCATATCTGGGAGGTGGTCAATCTCATAGGGCAGTCTTTGAGTCAGTATGCCGACATTCTAGAAGGCGTTTCAGGATAATCTTCAGCCAACGTGGTCCTCTCAACCTTGTAAACCATTTCTTAGCATCGAAACTATTATTGGGGACGAGTCATAGATCACAAGACGCTGGTGAAGTTTCCAACTTCCATCTAGCCGAGCTAAAGCGAACCAACCCTCAGAATATGCAGACAACCGAGGATTACGAGACGGAACTGATAAGAACAATTCGATATTATGACTCAATTGCACACTGGAATGGATTCTGCCATGCCTGGACGTAATGCCAAGACATTATCGCGATGGCGTGATTTGATGCGATCATGGTTAATTATTGAGAACTTCAAGTATTTATTCCTTCTACCAGGTATGACTTTGCTGGGATATTCTCATCTATACCAATCGTTGATTCTTCGTCCTGGAGCAGCACACGAAGACAGTTGGCCATGTCCGCTGCAACGGAAGTCGACTTTTCCCAAAGCCTGCAGGATGACAAAGCTCCAACTGTCAAAGCAACACAGGACAAGCTCCCCACACAAGGCGATGCGGCTTTAGAACTTCTTGCAGGAAGAGGCACTGAGAATGGAGCCCTGGACCCTGAAGCCTCGCGCCGCCTCGTCCGCAAGATCGACCTGTACGTGATGCCATTGATCTGCATCGTCTACTTCTGCCAATATCTAGACAAGATCGCAATCAGCTATGCCAGCGTAACAGGCATCAAACAATCCGCACACCTTCACGGCAATCAATTCAACTGGATCTCCAGCATCTTCTTCTTCGGCCAGCTCACCTTCCAATTCCCCACCATGCGCCTCATCCAGGCCTTCCCACTGGCCCGGTACGTCGCGACCAATGTCACAATCTGGGGCATTATTCTCGCCTGCATGGCCGCCTGCAAGTCTTTTGCGTCGCTGATGGTCTGTCGTACACTTCTGGGCTGCGCCGAGGCCGCGATCGTTCCCGCCTGGGTAGTCTTCACGTCGCAGTGGTACCGTAAGGAGGAACAGGCGTTCCGGGTGGGACTGTGGTTCTCCATGTGCGGCTGGGCGCAGATGTTCGGCGGGTACGTCGCGTACGGGGTAGCGGTTCATGTCGGCAGCGATCCGCACGCGGCGCTGCGCGGATGGCAGGTGATCTTTCTTATTTTGGGAGTCTTTACCGCGCTGGTGGGGGTGCTTTTCTTCTTTATCCTGCCGGATTCGCCCGTCACGGCGGGGTTCCTGTCCGCCGAGGAGAAGGTGCTGCATGCGGAGCGTCTTCGTGGCAACGAGCAGGGCATTGGGAGCTCGGTGTTCAAGCGAGAGCAGTTCTACGAGGCGCTAAGAGATCCCAAGACATGGCTCTATTCGTTCTGGGTCTTTGCCGCGAATATCCCCAACTCGATCGCTACCAGCTTCGGCAATATTCTGGTCACTGGGATGGGCTACTCGGCGACGCAGAGTCTGCTGCTCGTGACCCCGTTGGGCGCGTATGAGGTAGTCGTTCTGGTCGGATTGACGTATCTTGCTATGCGCACGAACCAGCGCCTGCTGTGGTGTATCGCCGGGCATATCCCGAGCATCGTCGGTGCGATCCTCATGGCTACGACGAATAAAGCTCCCGCCCTGGTCGGGTATTATCTGTCTGGCGGCATTCCCATCGGATGGACGACTATTCTGGGGCTGACGAGTACAAATGTCGCCGGGTCGACGAAGAAGATCACCGTCTCGTGCATCCAGACCATCGCGTATACGGTGGGCAACATCATATCGCCGCAGACGTTTCAGCACAAGGACGCGCCAAGGTATCTTCCGGCCAAGATCTCGATTGTGATCCTGTATGTTCTTATCACCGTGGACCTGTGTTTGATCCGGTGGTTGGCGATCCGAGAGAATAGGAAACGGGATGCCGAAAAGGAAGCGCTGGGGGATGCGTATGTGGTGGAAAAGGACCATGAGTTTCTGGACCGGACTGATTTTGAAAATCGCGAGTTTAGATATGCGATTTAGATGATAGATGATCATAATGATAGCGTGTCGAGCTAATGATGAACTGATAATAACCCAGGAGCCTTGTTCTGCAGCATGGCTAGAATAGGCAGCTAAACATATTAGCCTTAATTCATGATTCTATTGCCACAGTCTATCACCCCGATGCTGAACCGCGCCTGTGTATCCCTTCCCATCGCCTATCTTTGCGAGGCCTTAACCTTGGGTACCAATGCCTGTCATCGCAATGATATGCACCAGTACCAATCTCTAATGTGTCATAACTATTCCCGCAAGCTCTTTTGCAGAGGAAAGCCAGAAGAAAGTAAGGATCTGCTGTAACAGAGTTCATGAGCCTCCTTATTTTTGACGTTGAGCAGCGTGATAGTGCCGGCCGTTATTGCCCTCTCTGTTGGAAACATAGAGACACATTTTCAAACACTAATCACACGACACACATCTGTATTTAAAAGTGTGTTCCAGGTTTGCATGGTAACAAGGACAAAGGTATAAACTATATTGTCATGCACTATTACATGTCCAAAAATAGCCCCCTTCTTTTCCGGCTGGAGCCCCAGGGGACCCCTACCATGGCGTTGTTCATTCACACTCCTCCCAACCCAGCAACTGCAGTCACCCCAAGCAATTACAAAATGGCTAAGGACATCGATTCCTGGCAGCGTAAGATGATTATTCATATGATCTAAAGCAAGAATAGACTCACTACAATGTAAATAGCAAAGGTGGCGAGGCGTAGTGAGTGTTCTATCACTAACACACGCAAGAACTTGCGGTTATTCAGTAGTGCCAGATCTCCCCCAGTCTCTGTCAGTTAACAACCAAGTATCGCCCCTATCATGCTTGACGCCCTCTGTGACTACCTCACCAAAAAGCCTGGCCTATATATTGAAGAGATGGCTATCTTTATATAGGATGAGTTTAACACATTACCATTATCATCTAGCATCAAATGTGCACTTCCACAGGCTGGCTGGACAAAAAAGAAAGCCTAACAAAAAGCTCAAGAACAGAACCCTTAACTGTGAGATTTCTACTAGCATAAGCTATCTGAGTTTCAGTCATATCATCTTGGTGTGATAAAAAGATTGGATATAGGGCTCGGCATGACACCGGTCCAAGTGTCGAAATTTTATCGTGGCCAACGCTTCCAGATACTGTCTGCATATGCTCAAGACGGTATTATTCTATCTCATATTTTTAAAGGCTCCACTAATGCCAAATTCTTTGAATCATTTATCAAGCAGCTTCTGCAGCACTGTGGGAGGTGGCCAGAGCCAAAATCAGTACTTGTTAAGGATACTGCATCTTTCCATTCAGACTGGATCAAGACCTTATGTGCTGATGCGGGAGATAAATTACTGTCAGACTCCTCACACGGTGTCTTTCAATCAATTTGAGAAACAAATAAATGTTGCTGACTTCTGAACTGGGTGATCTCGACCCGGAAGTTTGTGGTCGGCATTGATTACTGATCATTTTGGCACTGTGCACTTGGAACCTACTTGCTGTCCTGTCGATCCCAGATGGGTAGGGTTCGGAGTGGCTGCTGACGGACCCAGCATATGATGCATCCCACCAAGGTGAGTCGGAAGGCTTACCTCGGTATCTTGAGGATCCAGCTGCAAGAGCAACCGACGCATCTGCTGTGGTGGACTACCTCCAACGCCTCGATTACGTCGACTCCAACCGCATTGGCGTTGTCGGTATCTGCGCAGGCGGCGGATACGCCGTCGCCGCTGCCAAAGGTGACCACCGGTTCAAGGCTGTCGCCGTCGTCGGGGCTGTCAGCATGGGTCATGGCGTCCGTCTGGGAAGAAGCGGTACGGATGACCCTGCCGAAAAAGTTGGCGTGCTGGACCACGTCGCGCAGGCCGTGCGGGCTGAGGCGGATGGAGAGGAAGCCGTCACCATCCCGATTGTGTCCCCGACCTTGGACGAAAACCCAACAAAGGACGCTCGAGATACATACGAGTACTACCTCACACCACGGGCACAGCATCCGAACTCGCCAAACAAGATGCTCCTTCGGTCCATGCAGCTACTCATGAGTTTCGATCCGTGGCACTTGGCGGATATCTACCTCACCCAGCCAGTGCTCATGATTGCGGGCGAGAAGGCAAGCACGAGGTGGCATACAGAGATGCTCTTTAAGGTCCTTGACGGCAAGAATAAAGGGTTGAAGAAGGTTATCTTGCCTGATGGTGGACACATTGACCTTTACGACCAGGAGGATTATGTTAATCCGGCTGTGAATGAGATCGCCGGATTTCTCAACCAGGCAATCTAGGCTTCATGGTTACAATACACATCGCATAAAGGTTTTACCATTCATATTTCTACGCTGTCCTTATGAAGTGCGACTAATGGCTGCTATGACGCCTCCGCAAATTTCAATACAGTTTTCACCGTCATGGCTCGTGTAACATTGCATGAACATACCGAGACCTATGTGTCTGCTCCCTTCTCGTCATTTATATAAACTATATACTCTGTGACCTGAACAAGCCACTGTTGTTCAAGTGAGAATGATGTTAGGAAAGACAAGAATAAGCGTGAGAATATTGGTTGCCTCTGACTAGTCACAGAAAACCATAGACGGAAGGAGGTTTACAATAACCATGTCCTTGATGTTGATGGTGAGGATGCGATATGTTGGCACAAGCTTTGGTGAAAAGGGAATTGCAGGTCGGGTCCATGATCATAAAGGAATGGTCCGGTCTAGCTAGCCTCCAAGGCCAAAACCATTGCAATATTCGTGGATCCGAGCAAAGCCTGGCCGCACTGTATCATTCAAAGTACTGACTCATTTCGAGAACAGTATCCTAGCTTTGGGTCATGGAAGAATCATCCAGTCTGGACTCTGGACACCAAATTTATTTCATTATTCGTGGATCAAAGGCAAGGCGGGCTGTATCACTTCCAAAGTACTAGTATAGTTCATTGATGACGGTATCTCAGACTGAATTGTATTGCTACTTGAGTGTATCTTTATTATCTTGTTCTGATTCTATACGCATGTCAGTAAATGTCAACCTTCGGTCATGATTCTATTGCACAGCTCATCACTATTTATCAGCATCCATTACTAAATGTAGGTACCTCACTTGCTTGCCAATGCCAATTGAGATTCTCCTGCGGACAGAGTCATCCCGAGGAAATCCTTCTCCGTGCTTCAACAATGACGATCCCCCGCAATAGTGCATATTCAGGCTAAACTAATCCCTGCAAAATACTTGTTTATGCTCCTCTCCTCATTACACGCATCTGCTAGTATCCTACCCATTGGCCATGTCCTACCAGTGTGCAGGGATCCACAGGACTTTTACTTGAATGAGCAATTCTGCCTTCAATTTCGGCTGAAATGATGAGTGATATCAACATGAGCGGATGGCAAATACAAGGCATTTACCGATTCCTACAACGATAGAACCCTCAATGAGCCGATATCACGAATATATAAGTATTGCCGATGTGCCTCGTTGTTGCCAGGAAAATCCTCCAAACCAGGCAACACAATGGCTGACATCATGTCGTGGCACTATGGCAAAGCCATTGCCCTTTTTGCCTCTCTAGCCCCTGTGGCTCTATCTATAAACCACTTCCCAGACTGCACCAGCGGTCCCTTGAGCAAGCTCGCCGTCTGTGATACGTCCCTCGATGTGACCACCCGTGCTCGGGCACTGGTGAACGCCATGACCTTCCAGGAAAAAGTCAACAACACGCAATACAACTCTCCCGGTGTGCCGAGACTAGGTCTGCCATCATACAACTGGTGGAGTGAAGCATTGCATGGCGTAGCAGGATCACCTGGCGTCGAGTTCGCCGACAGCGGCCCATTCAGCTATGCCACCTCGTTCCCCCAGCCTATTCTCCTGGGCGCCGCCTTCGACGACGACTTGATCAAGCAAGTCGCCACCGTAGTAAGCACCGAGGGCCGGGCATTTGGTAACGTTGGTCGTTCCGGACTGGACTTCTGGACGCCCAACATTAACCCCTTCCGCGATTCGCGCTGGGGCCGGGGTCAGGAGACACCCGGGGAAGACCCACTGCACGTCTCGCGATATGTGTATCACCTCGTTGATGGGCTACAGAATGGCATTGGCCCAGCAAACCCCAAGGTTGTCGCCACATGCAAGCATTTTGCGGCGTATGACCTGGAGGACTGGAATGGTGTTGTGCGCCACAACTTCAACGCGGAAGTGTCGACGCAGGATCTGTCCGAGTTCTATCTCCCTCCTTTCAGAAGCTGCGCCCGTGATGCCAAGGTCGATGCTGTCATGTGCAGTTACAATGCATTGAATGGCGTTCCTGCCTGTGCCGATTCCTATCTCCTGCAGACGATTCTTCGCGAGCACTGGAAGTGGGATGAGCCGGGCCATTGGATCACGAGCGATTGCGGTGCCATTGACGATATCTACAACGGCCATAATTACACAAAGACTCCAGCCGAGGCCGCTGCTACGGCGCTGAACGCAGGCACGGATTTGGATTGCGGCGGCGTGTTCCCCAATCACCTTGGACAGGCCGCAGCCGAGGGACTCTATTCCAACCAGACTCTTGATAGGGCACTTGTTCGGCTGTACTCCTCCCTCGTGAAACTGGGGTACTTTGATCCCGCAGAGAAGCAGTCGTATCGCTCCATCGGTTGGAAGGATGTCGACACCCCTGCCGCGGAAGCACTCGCTCATAAAGCGGCGGTCGAGGGCATCGTTCTACTGAAGAATGACAAGACCCTTCCACTCAAGCGCAATGGCACCCTTGCCCTGATCGGACCATATGCCAACGCAACAAAACAAATGCAAGGCAACTACGAAGGCCCCCCCAAGTATATCCGCACCCTCCTTTGGGCCGCTACCCATCTGGGCTACGATGTGAAATACGCCGCCGGCACAGCTATCAACACAGGCAGCACCGCTGGGTTTGACGCGGCACTGTCAGCGGCCAAACAAGCCGATGTCGTGATATACGCCGGCGGAATTGACAATAGCATCGAGGCCGAAGGTCGCGACCGCACCACCATCGTCTGGCCCGGGAACCAGCTCGACCTGATCAGCCAGCTCTCAAAGATTGGCAAGCCCCTCGTTGTAGTCCAGTTCGGAGGCGGACAAGTCGACGACTCGTCTCTACTCTCGAACCCCAAGGTCAACTCTCTCATCTGGAGCGGGTATCCCAGCCAAGAGGGCGGAACCGCCATCTTCGATATCCTCACCGGGAAGACCGCGCCTGCGGGCCGCCTGCCAGTAACTCAATACCCGGCGGACTACGTCAACCAGATTCCACTGACAGACATGGCCCTGCGTCCGGGATCCAACACTCCAGGACGTACCTACCGGTGGTACGATAAGGCGGTCCTGCCATTTGGCTTTGGTCTGCACTATACAACTTTCAAAATCACCTGGCCTCGGAAGGCTCTGGGACCATATAACACTGCGGCGCTGGCGAGCCGAGCACCCAAGAATGTACCGATCGATACGGCTCCGTTTGACACCTTCCGCATCCAAGTCACCAATACCGGAAAGGCCACCTCGGATTATGTGGCGTTGCTGTTCTTGAAGACTACAGATGCGGGGCCAAAGCCATATCCTCTTAAGACGCTGGTGGGCTACACTCGTGCGAAGCAGATCAAGCCTGGCGAGACGAGATCGGTGGACATTCAAGTCACGCTGGGATCGTTGGCGCGCACGGCGGAGAATGGTGACTTGGTGCTGTACCCGGGACGGTACACACTCGAGGTGGATGTGGGAGAGAACCAATATCCAAGTGCTAATTTCGTGGTTCAAGGCAAAGAGGCGATTCTGGACAGCTTTCCCCAGCCTCCTAAAAGTCGGTGATGTGAACCAGATTCCCGGATGTTCGGTGGATACCTCTGAAGCTATATATCACTGAGGTTTTTAGCGTACGCGTATCGCCATAGTCAAGACTCCTAGCTAAAACAAATCTTCCCTATTTGGGCATGTTGCTTCTATCCATAGTAGAGTCTAATATAGATGATGAGGAACTTCGTGGTCACTGACTCCATGGAGAAAACCACTGGCCGACGTAATGCTACAACGTGTTTGAATAGGATTAAGAATCCGCACCTGCTAAATTCACATTCCAAATAAAGTACATACTGAAACAAATTCGAAGCCCAATGTCATGCTCTCACTCATCCACACCTACCAACTGCAGCGACACTTCCCACAGTCTCCTCTCCTTCTCCGGGCTATACGCATACGAGGCATAACCCGGTGCCCACGGGCCCCCGCTGGCGTCATGCGCCTCGGCAATCTGCACATCCTCAAGATACTTCCCGCCCATTCCCTCAAGGGATCTGGAGACAGCCCCCCAAACCGACGTAGCAGCACCCTGCTCCGGGCTCTTAAGCCGTGGCCCCAGAGTCGGATCGTCACTGAATCCGTTCTGCTCTTCCTTGGACAGGTACTGCAACAGTCCGGTCTGAATCCCCCCAGGCTGGACGCTGAAGGCACGCAGACCCTGGGAGGCATAGCGGCGGTCGATCTCATTTGCCGCCCAGACCAGCGCGCACTTGCTCTGCCCGTACGCCCTCCACCTGTCGTACTCGCCGTCGAGGTTGAGATTGTCAAATACAACCTCCGAGTACCGGTGGGCGAGGGACGAGAGGAGGATCACGCGGGAATTCGCCTGCGGGGTCGCGGCGGCCAGAAGCGCCGGGCGCAGGAGAAGGAAGAGCAGGAAGTGACTCAGATAGTTGGTTCCGAACTGGGTCTCGAAGCCGTCCTTGGTGCGTCCTTCTGGGGTGGCCATGACGCCGGCGTTTGCGATAAAAATGTTGAGGGTTTTGGTCTTGGAGAGGACCTCGGCGGCGCAGGCGCGCACACTGGCGAGGGATTCCAGGTCCAGTTCGAGCAGGTGGACGCGCGGAGAGGACACCATGTCGCCGAGCGCTTTCTTGGCTTTGTTTAGGTTCCGGGCTGTCAGGTAGAGGGTTGCGCCGGTTGCGAAGAGCGTTTTCGCGGTCTCGATGCCGATTCCTGAGGATACGCCGGTGATGAGGATCGAGGAGCGGCTTAGTTGGCCCTCTAGGCCCTCGTCGTGGATGATCTGCATGGCTGTTGGGCGAGCATCCCCCGGGCCTTGGGGGTTCTTGTGAACGTCCGCATATCGTGTCGCCATGGTGTTGTCTGGTGATTACACTGAGCTTGAAAGGAGGATGATAGTAAATGATGATCTTGGGATGCATCTGGATTTATTGGTACATCAGACTGGCATTGAGCACGAGGCGGATTTTATATACATGGATTATGGTACGGAGAACAGTATGGTTAATTCCGAGCTGCGGGTTTAAGATGGTTGGACAATTCGACTATTCTCCGCAAGTGTCAGCTTACCTTAACATAGTCAGTCTCAAGCCTCGTTGTCATTTATTGTCATAACGAAATATGGGGAATGATGAATAATCTTAGTCAATGCCTGATAAATGATCATATTAAGTTCAGCCTCTATTTCTCTGCCACCTTTCTAGAACCCTAAAGCGCCATATCCTAAGCCTGTGTCTCAAGCAGCACCTAGAACCTCCTATTTAGGACTGCCCTTACTGTAGGACACATACTAAGATAGTGAAGTCATAGATCCAAACCCGCGCCAGGAAGGGACTGAGCGAACGCTGAAGCGCAAATCGGCCACGCCGAAGCTGGGAGCAACAATGCTTACGAGATCGACCGGGACGTCGCACAACGGATGATTCTAGCCGCCGGCCGTGTCGACTACGTGCACAAGTTTCTGATGATGATTGTATTATATTTTCTCTGCGGTAGTTTTCCGTCGTCGGTTGCCGCTCTCAGAAATCGCAAACAGCGGTCTCTCCCCGCGACGACTGCGCCACGGGTTGGTCGAACGGAACAGATCCCTGCAATCGCGTATAGTCCACCCCCAAAACCGGAGGAATGTCTCGGTGACCTCCCAGCCGGAGGGATCTCAGGGATCCTTCCAGACGAGAATACCCGTCTCGCCGATCCCGACCTCACGGCCAGAACGCTGGACGGCAGACTCTCCCTGACCAGACAAATCGCGACAGAGTTGCGCTTCATCGATGAAGTCCTGGGTTAGAATCAGAGTATCCCGCATGTACGGGAAAGGAATGAGGTCCAGCCATGGATGATGTGGAACTGTGCGCTGGATCGCAGTCGGTTTCAGAGCCGGTGGCAGCTTCACCTCGCTTGTATTCCTGCCCTGGAAATGGGACGGCCCTTGGACAGTGAATACTGATTGCGCATCATCGGTAATATCACCCGGCCGGTAACCCAGCACCTCGAGATTAATATGTAATGCTCGCATGACGTTGAGCCTCGTTACCTCCAAACGTAGATCAGCCACGGGGGACCCGCTGATGGTGTTGCCAAGGGCCATAAGGATGTTTTCAAGCTGCTGGAAGGTACGCCGTGCATTGACTGCATTTGGGCCCACGATGTGCATTGTACTCAGAACCTGAAGTACAAGGTCAACCTGGCCCGAGGGTTCTGTGGGAATCTGCCGCTGCTGGCCCACATTAGCTGTTCGTTGACGCTGTCCTGTTCCATTCGTTAGTACCTCTCTTCTGGAAACAGAAGCAGCCAAAATCATGGGAATACTAACGCCGTGCTCGCTGGTTGAATCGATTCTGCAATTTCCGTCTTTCCACTGGGTCGGTAACTCCCAACCAACTATCGTGGGACGTGATCTCAATTCCCGTCGGGAAAAGCTGCAGAAAGGACGAGGTTGCAACTACGGAGCTTTGCATATTGTCTGCGGATGGAGGTTTCGGACCTTGCCCACTGCTAAATGCTGACTGCTGACAATATGATGAGGAAGAGCAATATAATCGTAGGTTATGACCGTTGATGATAGGACGCTCTCTCATTCAGTGGAGAAACCTTAACAGCAATCACAGGAGAGAGTCCTAATAGACAAATACCGGGACTAACAATAACTAGTATTTCAATTCTGCAGGCACCTGACGGCTTTAACTATGTTCGGTGCCAAATCCCTCTATTTTAAAGTCCGCAATTAGCTTGCCTATGATTTACAGATCATCCCTCACAGCTTCATATTTCACCTAGCCAAGTCTCTTCGTGTTCGGGTTCAGGTTCGGACGGAGATGGCAGCAGCATTTTGAGGCATTCAATTGGGTCTGTTTCTGGAAAGGGTTCCCCAGTCTATATCCAATATCTAGATAGTTGAACCATTTGTGAAGTTACGATTGGTGCGTGGGTATAAATCCATTATTATACAAGTAAACCTTGCTTATTTTGGAGGCATGTTTGATAAAGATGGGGTGTTTCCAGTGTTAGGGCACCTAGAGGATTAACCCGGGGTTAGCACTTACCGGGGATGCACTATGCAAATGTCAGCATTTAGCGTAAATCCTAAGGTAGGTGGCTAACCTTGTTAGTATAATTATTCCCAATCGTCCAATCATTGATTCGTATTCTACCAAAATACTGTACTAGATGAGTGATCTTCTTAACCCCAGCTCTTAAGACCGATCAGAATCTGTATAGGCCCATGTACACCTTGCCTAAGACCCGACTCCCCACAAGATAATACGGCTTAGAGTCATTCAATCTTCCTTATATTATTTTCAGACAAGAATTGTCTTTGACTGGCCTCACAGAAGATATGTTCCGAAGGGATTGCTATTCGATAAAGTCCGATCGATTTCGAAATAATCCATTCTTTCATACCTGAGACTTGACCTTGGTCTGTAGATAAAAGCGATCGTTACTTCAAAAGAATATATAGTTGATAGTTTTCCTAGAATTACTGTACCCACATCGAAGGGTCGTTATGCTGAACCCTGCACAGGATGCGCATCGGAGATTATGATACAGGGGGATCCAGGGACATCCAGATCACCGACGCAGGCCAATACTCCTCTTGGTCGACATCATCTTGACACTCGTCTGATAGTCGCTCGTCCCATGGTTAGGATCCTGATCGTGCGCATTCTTCGCTCCACACTTGGACCCATCCTTCCCTCCGCCCAGCGGGCCATCAACCTGCATAAACTCCCGCTTATCCGTCGCCTTGAGCATATTCTTCGCCGCCTCAGGAACCCATCCGTTGATAAAATCGCCATGCCAGCAGTACGACGAGCCACAGGCCAGCTCCAGCGGCGGCGTGCCCGACCACCCATTCGGCAGCACCTTGCGCAGATCATAGCGGACGGAGAAGCGCAGCTGCGGGATGCGCTTCATGCCTGCGGGGCAGCGGTTCGCGGGCCGGAAGCTGCCGCTCCAGTTCTGGGTGCCCGAGTAGGCGTAGTCGAGGGTGTCTGGGTTGACGCAGTCAGGGAACAGCAGGATGGACTGCAGATGGGTGGGGCAGGTTTTGGTAGGGAAGGCAGCGACGTTCTTGCCGCCGTCGGTGTTGGAGACGCCCTCGCACATCCACTGGATGCCGTAGACGCCTTGGACGTCCGCCGGGGACGTGCCCTTGGCGTTGCCGGCGACAGCCTTGAAGTTCTGGGGGAAGGGAATCTCGGCGTCGCCGATGTTGACGTAGTAGGCGCTGAAGCGCATGGGTGTGATGGGGGTGTGTTTGCCGTTTTCGGTTACGTATAAGGTCGGGACCCCTGTTTTGGTTAGATTGACTTACGATTTGAAGTGAAGAGAGAAGCTTACAGTAGACCGAGAGGTCGTTGGGGTTCTCGTTGGTCGAGCAACCGGCCTGGAGCTCGGCCGAGGTCTTTGTGTTGATGGTGACGGCATCGGATCCGAAGAAGCTGTGCATGTGGCTCTTGTACTGGCCAGGAAGAACGATAGGATCAATGTTCTTCAGCATGAACTGCTCGGCCACGACCACAGTGTAGGCATGCGCGAGACCAGCCGCGGCTACCAGGGAAAAGAAGTACATGGTGAAAGAATGTAGAGTCGATCGACGACTGAGGACGAAACAAAATCAAAAAGAATGACTGGAATGCGACTGGAAGAACCAGACAAGCATGGCAACTCGCAGGTTTATATCTTATTTTGCATGGTTTCACTACAAATAGTGCAGATAGCAGGGCTTCAAGTTGATTGCGCTCACGATAACACACAGCAGCCCCTTAGTCGCAAGTTGATGAATATAGCATCCTGAAGGACCCTAATTGCCTAGTGCGACACCCAGTCAGTCTCACCACCAGCCCCAAGCGCGTGCCAAGCACTCCACCAACTCCAATGCCTCAAGGAAACTAACCGAATAGTTTGATAAAAGTGGACATGTTCGTTTAGAACCAAGGGATTGGTCATCTTGCAGGTCCCTTTTTCCCTTTTTCGGAAGGGTAAAACGCTCGGTCTCAAATCGTCCGTAACCAGCAAGCAAAGTCCATCAATGACGGACAAGCTCCGTTGTGCTAGGCACTTCGAGGAATCTAGTCCTGGAGCTTTGACCAAAAATTCGTATTCGTCTTAATTTCCACTTTCATGCTCTTCACGTACTCAGAATATTCCTTTGCAAGTGCACACACCGGCGCTCATGACCAAAACCAGCTAGTTGAGTCAGATCACTGCTTAAGAATGGCGCCAAGGTAGCGGCTATGTCAGGAGAACAAGTGCATCGACACTCAATAGTCATATGGAGAAGATTTTAGCAATTAATATCAGGCACCAGCGATAGATCATCGAGACAATGCAGGAAAACAGACTGCAGGATCTTGAGGGGCACAATCACCAGGATGGCCGTTTAGCTCCAGCACAGACTTGTGTGCTGGAAATATCGCTACGTTCGGAAGACATAAAACAGGAACCAGGCCCAGTTCGCTTAACCAGTGCCTAGCACCAGAGGGATATGGCGACGTTCAAACAAGAGAGGCTAAGTTCGAAGGATTGTGGATCAGAACTTGATTAAGGAAGTGCTGCGTACTTATAATTGGATACGCTTATCTCCAGACACATTACGCTCAGTTGGCATTGGCGGATACCTTAATAAAGGGCATGACGATGTATAAAAGTGAAAGTGCCCAGATGTCAAGTCTGAATATTTTCCACCGGGATACTACTCTCAGGATATTGAAATTGGCTTCCATTCCAGCTTGCCCAAGTCGACATTGGCCGAGTGAGCAATAGTTAGCTACCATCTCAAAGCTAACCTGAAATGCCACTCCGACCACCGAAAGAAAAGATCAGCTAGAAATAAGGGTCTCAATACCGCAACACGTGCGGCTATGCGCGGGTGCAGTCGGTTGATCGTTGTGCCTGTCTGGATGGCATGAGTAATTCAAAGCACAAGTTCAAGAGCCAGTAGGAGGGCCACGGACATAAGTGCTGTCTAGCGTGGAACGCCTGACGTCTTGGTCCAGTCTAATGCGATATAGCACTTCCTCTTTCGACTTACCGGGCCACTCTTACTCTTGTTGCGTCAGCACTAGCTCTAGTAACTATACCGGAACGCTCACAATTGAAACATTTAAACTTGACCTCCCCAGGATCGAGCAAGCCTAACGATACATGATGCAAGCTTCTGTTAAAATGCCGGATGAGACTTTTGAATCGGCAATTCAGCAATCTTCTCTCCTCTATATCCCTACCGGAACGAAAGCTGCAAGTCTCTCCAACATGTCAGAACCTATCCAGCCCATCCAAACCTGTATCCTGAGTTTCGAAAAGATGGACCTGATCGATTTCGCCGGGCCCCTGGAAACGCTGTCGCATGTTCGAGGCCCGTCTGGCGACCGTTTGTTTTCCATCACAGTCGCCGGTCCCAGTGATGAAATCACAACCTCACAGGGCCTGGTCATCAAACGGAACATCTGCTTCGAGCAAGCTATGTTGTCCCTCGCACAGTTCGACGTCCTTGTTGTCCCAGGCGCAAGCTATCTGATCACGAAGGAGCTCTGTACTCCGGACTTTCCAGTCATCCAGATCATTCAGAAATTTTCTACTCTGCCTAAGCATGAATCTCGAGTCCATCCTCGACTCCTCCTCTCAGTCTGCAGCGGCGCTTTTTTCCTTGCTTCCACGGGAATTTTTGCGGGCCGACGCGCGACCACACATTACACAATTCTTCCAGAGCTAGCAGAGCTCTGTGCAAAGTATGGCCAGACTGAGGTTATCCGGAAGAGGATTGTCGATGCCGGCTTGCTCGATAATGGAATGCGGGTCGTCTCAACTGGCGGGATTACCAGTGGCTTTGACGGTGCGTTGTATGTTGTGGAGGTCCTGTGTGGCTTGCCCTGCGCCGAAAAAGACAGTGATGTGCTGGACTACCAGTGGAGAAGATCGGAGGGGTTGTTTTAACAGTCAAAAGATTGACTAGTTGATGGACGTGTCGAGATGAGAACGAAAAATGGATCACAGCCAGCGCTGTATCTCCTTCATGGTTGTCCCTCTCATCATAGGTATACTTCAGTCATGGGGTGGTTTGCCACTTACTGGGCATTGCCACGTTGTTTAGCGCGGAACAAGCGGAACAACTCAGTGACATAGGGTGGTCTATCTAAATAATCTCAATCACAGAATGGAAACTCCTCGCGCTGAATCCTTGATCAGTATTCTTGATAATCTCTATCAGATGCAGGGCATTCTTATTCTCGATCAACTGAATCTCTGCCTGATCGGCGTCCCCTTCTCCCATATTTGATTCCTCAGTCATGCCCTGATACAAGCCTGTCGATTCCTTCGCTGAGATGGCAATCTCGATGGCCCCGACTCGTCGGTAGACAACATCATCAACCGTATCTCCTGCACGTGCTAGAAGCATCGCTTGCATGGAATAGACGGAGGCGTATAAAGGCACCAAGAATAACTGTCCGGTGTCTGCCATCTCTCTAAGCCAGTCGTCTTGTTCTAGGTCGATTTGTGTACCCTCTGGTTCATCATTTTCGCTGAAGCGAAGCTCATGATCAACTAGAGAAAGACTTTCGACCATCCCTTCTGACCAAGTAATGTGCAGTGGGAAGAGAAAACCTTCAATCTTGATAGAGCTGTGGTGCGGCATATCGGAACCCAAATATGAGCGCTCGACAAGCAGCGGGTCCTCAGCCAACTGGACAACCCTCATGAAATATTGCACATAGCCCTTTAATATTGACGGAAAGCATACCTCACCATCAAAAGACGCCCAGGACCAGCTTGGTGCACGGCATTCAACGTAGTCACGATTAGAATATACGCGCCCAGGCTGATGGATGCGGAACCAAGCCAAACCATACGCCAAACAGCTCTGCCACATGCCCGCTAGATACCGATCAGCTGGCCGATTCATCGCGACATATTTTGCTACCCCCGTCAACGCGATCAGCTTATCCTTCGCAAAGGTAAATTTGCATCGAGAATAGTCTTCCATTGCATTATTCCACCACTCGGCAAATTGGAGATCAGTAGTTGAAGCAAACGGCGCGTTCCGAGCAGCCTGTGAATTCGTCAAGGCGGGTTGGGATAGTTCTCGTAAGGCCTCGTAGATCGCCGGCTTACTCCTGGAACCCACAGTCAACGTAGGGGGTAATCCTCTTGGGAAGGTTTCCAGGGCTTGCAATTGTTGACATTCCCATCCTATCTGTCGCGGTCCGAAATGGATGACTCTGCGTGCTAGGAACCGTTCTTGGAATACCCAGCCTCTCTTGTTGAGCGGCGCGTTGCTTATTTGGTCGTGCCAGAAATCGCTGTTAATGATGTACTGCGTCTCGATCCTTCCGTGAGCATTTACTTCAACTCCAGGCGGAGCGGACAAGGCATGCGAATGGCGAGGGCCAAGAAGTCCCTCGGTGCCATTCTCTGCCAATGTCGCGGAAATATTCACGAATGCGTGCGAGTACACTTTGTCCATGGTGAGGGACTCTCTAAACCAGTCCGATTGATCGTCCGTATCTTGAATGATGCATAGGGAGTCAATCCATAGATACTCCACGCCTAGCTGACGGGTTAACAGGATTGCGTCCTGGAACGCCCGAGGCAAGCGCTGGACGTTAATTCCCTGCTGCAGTTGTTGAATGGTCGAGGTCAGTAGCATTGGAAATCGATGTGCAGTTTGTGGCCATCGATGGCTGAGTGTCACATACGGACCGTTGAGACGGGTGCCTTTGGTTATAACCAGCTTAACACCGGTCCCCTGGCCATCGGAGGCCAGGTGCAGTAATCGGGTTGGATACCATGAATTCGCCGAGAAATTGACACACTTGTGGTGATCTCGAATACAATTATCGATCCACGTTTGGATGAGGGTGAAGTCCGCGGTTGTGGATTGCTGGTGTGTTGCGCGACGGAATTCTGCCCTCGACACATTAGTCCCTTGGATTTGTCCCAAGATAATCCTTTAATTTGGAAGTACATCTTACCTCCTTCTGACATGAAATCCAAATTAATCACGCATCCATCATCACTATCGATGACCTCGCCTCGGAAAAGAGGCATGGCCACCATCTCACAGGGGAGCAAATGCCCTGCGCCATCTCGTATGGCGACAGCAGATTGTTTCCAGATAAATGTCATAGGCAGTCCTCGCCATTTCTTGAATAGCATAGGATGAGTGACTTCCAACCAGGCAACCAATTTCTTGCATATCCAGCAAGGTACCTTGAGTAATTGAGGATACCGGGGCAGCTCGTGCTGAGTAGATCCACCCATCCCACGGTGGAGGGTCTCCTGGATCGTTTTGGTACAGCTCTCGCAAAGCTCCATATTGTGGAGTAAGCATATAGCAGTGGGTTTGTATGAGGTGAATCCGGGGTAGGGATCTTGTGGAGATCAGTCATTGAGGTTCAGGGGTGATTACTGAGATACACAGCTCCCTGCAAAAAGTCTGAGTAATTGCACTAGTTTTGGGAGGTGAAATCACGTTTTTCGCGTCACGCGTTTTCAACCCATCACATTCAACGCTTCAAAATATGAGCAATTCAAGAGCTCTAATTCCTATATTCCTGATGTTATGCGCAATCAGGAGTTGAAGCCTCAGGATCGCTCCTATATATTAGGACTATACTATGGCGGCCAAAAACCTGCTGAAACCGTTCGCCTACTAAACCGCCCACCTTCTATCATCTATTCCAGTATCAACCGAGCAGCTTCACAAGGCAATTATACCAACCTACCATGTTCTGGTCGTCCGAAATCAACAAACAATAGAGAAAAATCAACATATTATTTAATTTATTCAAGCGGATCCCTTTATTACCTACACATTGTTAATAAACACTTGAAGAATAGAAACGCCAAGACGGATCTTGTAGAAAGGGCTCAGATGTCCCAATTGGAGTGGAAAATCAAATTGATCCAACCAGTTTTCTCAACTCTTCGTCACCGAGAGAAACATCACGACCATGTCGCCCCGTCGATAAACAAAACTGCAGAATCGGCAGCGCTGTGTTATAATCGTAGGAATTGTCATAAGGGATATCCACACCTATCTCAACACAGGATAAGCCGTTTATCGTACTCTTACTAGGTCATTCAGAGTTGTTCCAATGACTAGGATCCTCATAGAACGGCCAGCTGGATCAGGACTATGATAACATTGAACCCAAGATTCCTCGTTAAATCAGTCTTAAAAGTATGGACCAATTTAGGACGAAGGTCAAGGGGCACATCTCGGGGAGGTCAAGACGAAAGTTTAATAGCCGAACAGAGGGACCTCCGTCTTCAAAACCGACGCTAGCCACATAGAACACGAAGAAGTTTCTGCCTGGACAGCCGTCGGCATATGTTAGTCGTTGACGCAGTTGGGCCACGGGGAGCGTTCTGTAGTGTTGAAAATAAGATTTCTTGGGTGCTTGATTTTCAATCTTTCGCAAGCCTCCCGCTACAAAGATGGCTGCTAGTAAGCCTGCCAATGTCGTATCTGATAGCGTTGGGGGAGACTCGTCACCAGATCCAGCACATCAGGGAAGGGGATCTGAAATATCCAGATCCTCTATTAACACTCATGCGGGACGAGGCGAAACACATTTCTGTGTCGATGTACCGGAGCCAATATGCTGGAGCGCTCAATTGGAGGATAATGGATTTGACGCTTGGATCTCTAGCCCTCATGAGCCTAAATTGCATCTCAGCAAAATTAGCACGAATGTTCTTGGCCTTGTCGTCTGCGCCAGTGACTTCCACACCTATGGGATACACGTGTTTCAAGGGCTGACGGCAGAGTTTGAGACCTTTGTCTCGCTGGTGAAGACCCGTGTCGATGGCATCGCTCATTACTGGCAGTATTTTCCCTTGGCTCCTGGTGAGGCAATCAGTAACGCCTGGGTGCGCGTTAGAGCATGGCGACCCGAACAGGCCAAAGCCATAAACCTTGGTGTATGATGCACATCTCATCTGTATCCCACTCTTCCTTGGGCTGACTTATCTTGATACACAGCTTGAAACAACCCGCGGTCGCAAAACACTCTTCGGGTCACATCTGAATACTCTCTACCATGGAAGCCAATTCAGGCCTCTTGTCAAACAGCAGGAAGGCCTCATCACAGGAATTTGGGACAACACACTGGACCAACAGCCATGGGTGACTGTAATCGGTGTCACATGCGACCCTGCTCGCTCCCATGAGCGCAGCGCTAGGGATATGCATCTGGAGATCAAACAGCCAGATTACGAACCCCCTCGCGGTTACCCAATGGATACAAATTTGGATATCTGGGACTCCTGGCAATTGACGCGCGCGCGGGCCCAAGGGATTGTTCGCATAACAGCGAGCAGGTCCCGGGAACCCGAACCACCGCGCGTGTGGGGGCTGCTGCTTGAGTATGAGGATGGTGGCATCGAATCGCTCGGCCAGTTTCGGTGGGATTGCGATACAACATCTTTCGAGGGCTCGAATGTCTGGCTGAAGAGTTCGTTTATAAAAACGAGTACGGGGAGGGTCGGAGAGGTGCTCGGGCATGTGGAACGCTTTACAGATATTTGTGGACCTGAAGGACCAGGGCCTGGCTGGCAACACCTGCAGGATGAATGGTATTCTCTTTGGCAAAGCCATATATCTTTCAGAATTTGGTGGATTGGGATGCCGGGGGATCAGTGGAACTGGGATTAGTAGTATTCATCCAGAGGAGCCAGCACAATGATTTGAGTGCATTTCTTTCCCGTAGTAGCCAATCGGCGTCGTGATTTATTATACAGTGTCAGCTAGGTTGTTTCTTTCCTGACTATTTGGACTCAAGTCCTCATCCTGAGGTACAAACGGGCGGCTGAGATGGCATTACATCCAGGAGGACTTTTGGCTTATTGACACCACTCCTGAGGACCCAACATCTTTACTGGGCTGCAGACGTCTGTTCGCGAATTCGAGTCTCTAATTCAATAACTCAATTCAGCTGGTGGTGGTGGTAGTATTCATACCCTGACCCCTCGCCTTCAATTGATTTTACCACTAGACCAAAATACGAATCCGTACTTGGTCTAGTAGGTTGTGGTTTATAATCAACTCCTTCGGCGATATGCAGGATGTCCACTACGGCTGTCTTTTCCATGTCAATTTACAGTGAACCATTACATTCCGCCGAATTTAGAGCCTCGTATTGGCCTATGGTGGCCTAAGTGCCTGGTGTTCTGTTTTGCGGCCTCTCTGGTCCGCGGCTTCGAAATCTTTCAGATGTCTCTGCAAGGTCCAATACAGCACCTAAGATGCTACTGTCCTGCGCGGCCTCGGGGTTGCTCAAATGAGCGGGTACTCTTAGGCTTGAAGAGGGTTCCTTGAGCGTTCAACTTACGATGAGTACAGCAAGTTCTACACAGGGGAATTTTCCACTGTCAACGCCGCGGAGCGCCCGGCACGCTCATTCGTTGCTACGTCTGAGGCAGCAGATTCTGTTCGATTGCGACACCCAATCTTTAGCCCGCAATGAAATGTAGCTATGCTTTCTCAGGTGTGTACGTACCGCTAATCCTTCATCGCCTTCGGCCGAATCGCCCCCATAATTGTAAGGTCTGGCCAGAGTGGAACAGAAAATGTTCTTACTGGTGGACATTCAGTCGCCACGCTGCAGTACTGGCACTTTGAGCTAACGTATCAAAAACTAGGATGATCAAGGTTAGACTTGACGTGAATCAATCTCTAGCGTATCGTACAGCTGGACCACCAAAGGAAGACATTTCAGTCCCCCTCTTATGGAATTATCAATATAATATAGGTATCATCTTCGCTAATGGCTACGGCGCTTTGAAACAACACTACAACTTACAACACTAATGACAATGGAGCTCGAAAAGTACGACGCAGTGGGCCTGGAAAGGATTTTCCGTTTCACGCCGATACCTACCATCGTCCTTGATTCCACTCTGAGCATCATTCAAGCGTCCAGCAGCCATCATCTTTCGTTCTCTTGGGTTGAGCAGAGAAGTCATGTTTGGCTCGAATGTACTTGGTATTCCATTTCCCAAGGTCCCTCTCCTCCTCGAAGCACTGCATAGCGCTATTTCCAAGCGCGTGGTCTGACCGCTGCCAAGGGTCCACATTCAGCCAGCCTCAAAGATTGAGTGAGCCCGATCCAATTTAGACTTTCCCCCGACTCTATTTGAAGTACTCCGTATTCCTGTTCCCCCTTCGTCACTTTCTACCTCATCGTCCTCAAACCTACCGTCACCATTACTGTGAATCATGGGTTTCACCACTACTTCCAAGGATATCTCCCTCCGCTACATCCCAAAGAACAAGGACGGCCTCCCTATAACCAACTTGTGTGCTAACTGCAAAGATGGTAATGGAAAATGGTGGTACACTGAGATCACCCTCGACTGGCATATTGGCGTCGACACTCCTACAGGTCGCCTTTTACTGGACTCACTGCACATCACTCGGCACACATCTAAATTGGAGCTCACTGCCGGGGGGGCCGTATTACTCTGCACCATGGACTCGAGCTATAACCACAGGTTAAATGCACTGTCCTTGGATCTGATCTTTCATAATGAGGATGGCAAGCTGGTTTATCAACTTCCGTAAGCTCCTTCATACACTTGCGTTAAATCATTCTATTGTGCTAAGTCAAGCCATAAATAGCCCCAAGAATGTCCGGGCGCGGCTTTGCCATCTCTCTGTGGATGATTCGGCTATTCTCAAAGGTTTCGCTTTCACCCGTTATGGGACGCTGTGTCCAACCTCTCTGGATTTGAACAAGCATCTTACCAATGAAAACGGATTGCTCAAGAAAAAGAGAGATGGCAACTTTAGCTGGACTGCTAAGAATGTGCACTTGGACGACAGCTGGACGTTCTGTCTTGATTTGATGGATTACCACAAAAGATGGAACGAGGGCATACGATGTTGGGAGCTGATGGACCAGTGGGTTAGTATCAACGACGATGGAAGCCTAGTAATGGAGGACCCGTATGTTTTGTTTCTTTCTTTCCTTCTGCAAAGATCAATTGCTGATCACCATCTAGCGCTGGTACCTGGGATCTGCGGGGCCCCTTTTTCAGGCTTTTGGAAGACATACCCGTAATAGGATATATTGTTGCTGGCATTGATGAGTTAGAGGGTGACCATGACGAGGCTATCCGTGCGGCAGCAGAATGCACCTACGCGACCATCGTGATGGGCGCTGCATTGGTCGGTGGTGCTCTTCTCGGGCCAGTTGGGGCGGCAGTCGCATCGGGCGTCGCAGGCTATGCTGGCATGTATGCTAAAGCCGCAATCGGGCAGCACATCAGCAATCCTGCCATGCGAAATGAGGTGACAGCCATCACCATCTATCGAGTTCTTACTGCGGAATTGTTCCTGATCGCCGGGGTCGGCATAGGGGAAATGTCGAGTGCTTTCAGTGAGCTGGTCGCGGATGAACTGATGGCTGAGGGATTTGATCAACTAGTGGTTGATATGGGGGCGATGCTAGGTAAGAAAGGGTTGAAATCGATGACCAAATATGATATGAAGCAGTAGGTGCTCTTGCGCTCGTCATTCGCACTTATACTCACATGCTTGCCTAATGCAGGATCGTGAATAATCTTCTCGATGCTATTAAACATGGCAAGTCGGAGGATGACATCAAACATATGTTTGATGATTATGAGAATGATGGCGTGGACGTTTTGAATCCCCCAAAACCGAGGCAACCTAGGCAACCTCCGCCTGATGATGAGGATACAGACACGGAAACTAGCGGAGAAGGCTTGATATTCACCCGTGATCTGCCACCAGTAAATGATGGCCAGGATGACCCCTTCGATTTGGGCAAGGGCCATCATGGCTGGGACGAAGGTGACGGTGATGAGCGTTCCAAATGGAAGCACAGGAGGGACTATAGCGATCTCTTGGAGCATACAATGTTAGTGCTAGAATTCATATATATGCGTTGGGTGTATAGAATGAGCTAACGGAATCATCCAGCGATTTAACAGAATCCCAAAAGAAAATTATCCGGAATCAAATGAACCTCTTGAATGGCGGTCCAACCAAAGATGACCCCAGCTACATTGTCACGGTCAATACTGACGGATTCTATTTGCAAAATTGGCTGGAAAGCTCCACATCTCACGAACTCATATTCCGCCTCGACATGTCCAAATTCCTGGCGGGCAAAGACATTTCCAATTCCATTGACGACCATACCAATATCAATCTTTACACAGACGACGGATATACAATGAACTTGCATATCTCATTCCGCCCATCCAAGGACATATTGCATATTTCCCAATGGTCAAACGGTAGCTGGCATACAGTTTGGTGGTCGCAGCTTTCGGATGTCTTCTTTGGTATGGAGAAAGGCAAGGATGGCTGGCTCAGTGTGCGTGCGCTCTCTAACACGGGAGGTTACTGGTTTGAAACCTTCAATTTGAGTGATAAGAATGAGCGCGTCCATGGGGCGTTCTGGTCCGTCTTTGCGAGCGGCTCTTTCACACAGCATATCAAGTATTTAGGACCAGACGGGAGTGCATTATTTGGTGATAGTGTGGAGGCGTACTACGCTCCCAAGAACTGAAAACAATGCCAGAATACAGACGGCATTGCACGCATTGCATGGAGTTTTCGCTGCTGTGCATCCCTACGCCTTAATCATGGGGTGGGAGAGGTCTATCTAGTACAGTTCACTGTTTACAGCTGTATGCGAAGAAATGGAACCAACCTAAAGACCAGCTCCTTTTTATCTTGGATGCCCAACCCTGCTCCAGACAGGTCATTGTCTTTATCTTACATCGTCGACCTATTGTGTATTCTTGGATCTGTCGTGACTGTTGCTAGATTAAAGACTCCAGCAGGATTAAGAACATTCTTTACGCACCGCCCGCTACAACGGTAAACCGGGGGCTCACTAGGCCCTGTTTATGCGCGAATTGACACGAGGGTGTGTATTCATCCTCAATATATTCGGATCTATGGGGCAACTGTGAGCACAGAGGTAAGAGCCGCAGATCTTTCCATTCTTAGCTAGGCTCTAGGTGGTTCCAATGACATTCCTCCATGAGAGTTACTGAGCTGCTCACAGAACTTGAGGTCAAAATCCTTCTAATAATCCTCATCGCCGTTTAACGCTTCCCGGTGAAGGGATAGGCTGGTGTCTACCCAATGAGGCTAGCTAGACTCCTGTATGCCAGTGACCAGTAACGATCGTGCCACGAGAAGTGAATGCGATCTCTATCTAAGGAAAGTAAGATAGACGGGCGTGGTTCAATTGCGGTATCAACCGCGGCCCGTCTTTGCTGTGATCAGCTGTCATGGGCTGGCTGAACCTGAGCCCCTTTAGTGACATCTGTACGGCTTATAACAGTGGCAAGGTGCTACTGTCACAATAATTTTACTAAATTGCACTTAACGTTTGCCTACCACGTCAGCTCTGGCCTCTTTTTTGGGATGGGGGTTGTGATCGTTCATACGCCCATGCAGCCATCTCCTGGACTGGTCTGGGGAGGGGGACTCGGCGGGATCACAGGCAAGGACGATGAATTGTCGAAAGAGTATGAACCAGTCCTGGCCTATAGGAAATTGTTAACAACCAACGTAAGCTAGAACTGAACACTGGACTGAATGAAGACTTTCATGTGACTGCTACGGTTGGAACATTTAAACCCATGTGTTTCTGCACCAGTTGAGTGAAGCTCAGGCGCCAATTTTCAGTCAGTCATTAATCACTATGCCATTTGCCGAGTAGGTCAATTACTGCTGTTACGTTATAGTGTATAATTTCCTAGCGCAGTCTAAGAGGAACATCAGTTACAATTCCCATCGGGAACGGAGAATCTAATATCGGTACAGTGAAAGGCTTCGAAGTAACCGCTGCACTGTCTTAGACACACGTGTGTGGTCAAGAATGGGGCTCACAGTCCCAAAAAGAAAGGAAAATACAGCGTGGAAGTTGGGGATGGCAAGATTATCGAAGTTGAAGTAGCGAAAGTGAATGAGTTCAAGATCCAAATGTTAAACAAGGGTATATGAAACCTTAAAGTGACGTCGCAGCGCACATCCTGAGGTAGATGGAAGCACAGAGGGATTCTATACCCAGGAAGGCTGGGAGTTTATTTAACAGAGGAATCAGGCAGATGAAGCTATCCAGACAGTAGATGCAGAACAACGCCCTTAACAGGCCCCCCCCCCACGCTGCAGTGACTGCCATATTCTAGGCCATAAGCGCTTGCAATGTCCGCAGCGCAAGAATAACTAGATTTAGCAATAGAATTATATTTTAGGGGTTGGAAATTGCCTCCAATTTCGGCCGCCAAAAAATCTATGGTTTAGTGGCCGCCGCTCGATTCGAATGGCCGCTCGCCTGTGGATTACGTTTAACTAACAATTTATGCCACGTACGAGACGGGAGTCCCGTACCCCCTAATACCAGACTTCCTCTATGCTTCCTCGGACAAGAGTAGTCATCCAGAAGAATCGACTTCACGTTGCTCACAACTCAGCAGGCAAAATGCGCACCAGGCCCAACCTCCCACGATCCAAAACAGGCTTTAATCCCTCAATCACATCTGTATGGAAACAATCAAGTCCAAGCGTACTTTCCGTACACATTGCCTTGCGCGCTTGTAAGTGGTGAAGGATCTGTAGCTCTTCCCTAGAGAACCTGTTACTTTCCACTGAAGAGAGACTGCTACTACCGAGTTTCTGCTTAAATTTTGCCATCTTCTCCGGTTCGGCATGGTTCCAAGCCTGAGCACAGAAGTCCAGCGTTTCCTTGAGATGGCTTTGTGAGACACCACTTCCACCTATGTCTGCCGTGCCTTGGATAACTATGCGAATTACGGGTTAGTTGGTGGAGATGTTGGATTTGGTGCTTCCATTTATTCAGGCCAAGAGGTTAAGGTAAGGTAAGATATACTCACTGATCCTGATACGCTCAAAAGCCTCATCGACATTATCCTCACCAAGCTGACTCCAAATGCTGTTATCCTGCCTCCTCATCTGATGGTAGGCACTCAAGACCACCATCAGGAACCGCTGATACACACTCTGGATCTTTGTAGAGTGCCAATTCGCCGCAGTGGCTTCCTTACAATCGCCCTTCAAAGCAGCGCATATAGTGACAGCTGCCGAGAGGGCGCCCGTCAAAGCGATATGGACACCCGAGGAAAAAAAAGGGTCGATGAAGCAGCCGGCGTCGCCGACAACTCTTACATAGGGGCTGGAGTATGTGGATGCGCTGTAGGAGTAATCGGACGCCAATTTGACAGAGCTTGTGAGTTCGCCGCCGGATATCAGCTGCATTAAGTTGGGGGCAAGCCGGAGAGAGGAGCGGTAGAACGATTCTAGGGTATGATCTTCCTTGCAGGAGGTATCGAACATGGCTCTCCGCTTTGACGTTGCGAGTTCCTGATCCATGACGACTCCGATGGATACCGTTCCATCGTGAAGTGGGATGTACCAAGCCCACCCGCTCTCGTCTTCAGAAATAGAATAGAACAGAAATCAGCAAAGAAACCGCCCTTGAAAGCGAAACTTAAGGTAGAGTAGTCATCAAACCTTTCAGCGCCTCGAAGAACGGCGAGTTCTCCCTTTCCATCCCTTCCTGGTAGGGCTTCGTCCCCCTCCAGTAACCCCAATGCGCGACATTCTTAAGAGCCTTGTTATAGGTGCGATTCTTCATATACTTGGTGTTGACCAGACCTGCACGGCCACTGGCGTCGACCAGATATCGAAAGTTGATTGTACCTTTGGTTCCCGTGGCTTTCTGGGTATACGACGCCCTAACGGGATGACTGGTTTTATCGTCAAAGTCAATGTCATTTACTCTGACGCCATCAAAAACCTTCGCTCCGCCACTTCTAGCATGCTGAAACATCAGATAATCCGCTTCTGAGCGGATTACGTTCCATGTGAAATTGTTTGGTCCGCCCGCGGATATGAAATCCGTGTCTTTGCAGACGTTAGAACTTAGCCTCAATGATAATGCGTTACACACAGGTAGATAGGTAGGTAGGTTTCCTTACATCCCTCTCGCTTGCCCTGCACAACCTTGAACGCTGCACCATTCTGCCAACCAGCTCCGTGTCAGAGTCAGGACGGGAATAGGTAGGAATCATTGGTTGCTGACTCACCTTCTGGGTGAAGCCGTGATCCAGAAACGTAGAGTCTAGGTCGATATAGCGCAGAAAGTGTCGGAAGGACGGAAGCATGCTCTCCCCAATATGGTACCTAGTTCCAAAAATCCATGAATCTAGTCCACACTCAAGATCACATTGGGGCCTTTCCCTGAGGGCTGTATAGTGCTGCTCACCTGGGAAATCTATCCGACTCAAGAAGAACAACATCAACATTCTCACGGGCAAGTGCTGCAGCGGTATACGAACCCCCTGGTCCGCCTCCTACCACCAGGACAGTGCAGTGGGCTGGGATCTCCATCTCGACTTTATCCATGACGGGACACATCGGGTGGAATATGTAAGAAGAGAAGAAAATAGTTCGAAGTTATTTGATTCAATAGTGACACAATTTGGCTGGATTGTGACATGGGTAGGGCACCTGGGGCTTGTTTAAAGTAGGTTGTTTTGCGAACCTTCTTTTAATCGGTCCTCGGTATACATACGCGTTCCACTTTCACCGCTACGTGCCAGGTGACAGCGAGACTCTGCATACGTGCATATAAATGCTCTTAGATAACAGTTGCATATGCAATAGATGTACATGACACCATTGGTGCTGCTCTTACTAGATACTGGCTCGCCTGGCAGACTTCCTATCACTCAGTGGCTGCTGATTCAGGAAGTCTTGCTTGCTGAAAAATAGGCGTTTAAGAAATAGTTTCCATAGCCATTCCTAGCAATATGATGGCGATATATTACTTAGCGCCTGGCTCCTTACCTTCTGGTTTCCTCGACATATACAATTGGCCTATCCGTCATCAGGTAGTTGGCACCTTTACCTAGCCAATTATAGATGTGTGCTACAGAATGCATGCACTCTGCTACATGGCCCAGCTCAGCGTAGCGGGCCATATACGTGGCTGCACTTCGTGGTTATGAGAACTACTGGTGGTTTTCATACAGTTCACCTGGATTAGCCTCCTCTCTACCCCATTCTGCAATTGTCCGAGGTCTATTGTTTGCAATTTTGCAATCGGAAGACCCGGTGACAATTTCTCGGTTTCTGCCTGAAGCATAGCTGCTGCCATAGCATACAGTAAACGCTAACCGCTCGATATTATATGGTTACTTGGTCCTCGACCGATATGCCCTTTCTTGCAGATGGTAATCTGAGGTGAAAGACACCCCGTAGATTCCTTGAAGAATAAACTTCATTGTATGAGTCCCCCTTGCATGAGGTACGATCCTCGTTCAGCTTCTTTAGTAACCCCTTTGACACTCTCAACTTGCGGTGTAGACCACGCTATATTGCTTTGTTGGGCACCCATGCGTTACCTGCAACCAGTCAAGAACCTCAGACGTCAGATGTCATATTTCCATGTTAAAGGTCTAGCACAGAATCCGGGCATGTAGTCCACACTGCCTGATTTCCTCGAGACGGGCAATTCCTAACCTATGCCCTTTCTATATGACCTCTGACTTGCATACTGTATGATAAAAATCCACTTTTTCGTGGCGTTGTTATTGACTTCGTGGCTTTTTTCTTCGGCAACATTGGATGTCCGGCTGGCACTTACAAAGATAACTGGCAACTGTATGTACGCAGTTTGCTTTGCACCGGCCTTGTAGGACAGAAAGGCAAGTACACATGCCCAAGCGGAGTTTGAGCACGTATTGTCGCATTAAAGGCTTAGTTTCTATGGTTTGACCGCCGCCCTGGCCCATTTCGTCTAGCATGGCTAGGTAATAGTCAGGATAGCCTCTAGCAAAGTGGAATTAGAACCCTTGTTGTTAAAGAAATTCAACCATCGTGGGTCTATTAGTGATGTAGGCTTTCCTTTTCTTAATAGATAAAGCTGGACTAACCTCTCCAACAGCTTGTTTGAAGTATAATATGGCTTTTTCTTCTAAGTCGTAGATCCCAGCCGCCCTACAAACAGGGTTATAGGGAATCTACAGCCCTCCACCTGATATAGTTAAGGCGCCCCTAATTAACTATTTCTTCTTTCTTAATAATAATGTTGTGTAGGCTAAGTTTTATTTCTTGCAGGCTGGCTGTAAGGGTGCTAGCTCCAGAGCTAATAATTAATACATCAGTCACTTCGTCAACATATAGTTCGGATGTTGCATTGTGCCTTGTTACTGTTGTTGATAGTGGTCAAGTTAGTACTACCACTGCAATGGCAGCCGTCCGCGAACTGAATATTGGGCGCGTGATGGGCTGGAGGCTCTGAACACACTGCATAGCTGAGAAATGATTATAAGAGTGATGAGAAAAGAAGATGATAACTGCAATATTAGAGGTGACTGGTGAGCGACAGATGAATACTGGGCTAGGTATTATAAACTTAAGATTGAGAAATAAATGTTTTATGATGGTATTAATTAATTAGGTCTTATGGATGGTTAGATGCAGATAAGTGAGAGAAGGAAACAGAAGAGTTGTTATTAGATGATCACCCTAGTAGCAACCTCCTATGATTCTTCTTCCTTTTTTTTTTTTTTTTTATTCCTATCATGTTGGAAGTAGAACTCCAAGGTCAAAGAGGGGTGTTTAGAATCACAGAGCAAAGCAGGCGAGATCAGCCTGAACAAGAACATTTGCACCCAACCTCGACACGCTCCAACGCTGGACAACCCACAATTTTAGGACGGCCCTAGACATCTTATGAGGCACCGTTTCCCTTTTGGTGCCATCAAAAAGTATATTACTTGATCCATATCTGTGTCAGTGCTATTCTCATCGGATACTTCTGCATGCGGGAATGCGCGGAAGAAATAACAAGTTGCTAGACGAATCTCCCGTAGGGCCAGGTGTAAGCCGATGCAGACTGGTCCGTCGATTAGTTAAATTATGTAAGTAGGAACCGAAGATGCGCCTCAGACCGGTTATCTGGACTTACTGCGAGATCCTCCACCAAATGGCATAAACGCATCTTTCATCATCTTTGTTGCGTTTTCCCAGCGAGATGGATTAAACCTAAGCAAAGTAAGTCGGGGTCTGACCAAGAGCAATACAGTTTGTAACGGGATGTGGACTTGCCTATCTGGTTCTGGGAATATCGTTGGATCTCGGTGTAGAGAGTAAGCCTGAGTGCTGACAGTGATCCCTTCTGGGACAAAGTGGCCAGCAAGCATTCTACCCCCAGATGGCACCACCCGGGGTAGCGCAGATGGTGCTGCTGCATACAGACGGAGTGTCTCATTGATAACTTGGCCCAAGTACGACAGTTGGCGAGTGTCTTGGTCATTGAAGTCGGCGGGAAGAGAGTTCACTTCCTCCAGCAAGGCTGTCTTAATATTGGGATTACGACAAACAGCCCACACGAGATATGTCAGGGAGGTGGCAGTCGTATCGCTTCCTGCGATGATATAGCTGAGAGCTTCGTCTCTAATCTCGGCGTCGGTTAGCCCGTCTGCAGTTTCGTTGTAGAGCCTGGTAAAAAGCGACACTTTCGGGTTTTCGGCATTGGTGACAAGCTGTTTCTTGTAGCGAGTAATGGCTTCATTGGCGTACTGCACCATTCGGTGGCCACCAGATACCACATTTGGAATGAAAGGGAGAGGGAAGATACTGGCCAGCTTTACAAGAGAAGGGAAAGTGGTATTTAGGCCTTCCATCATACCGATAGCCTTGAGATCAGTGATGAATTGACTTTCCTGTACCGCAGTCAGACTCGCCTTTTTCAAAGTAAGCTGACCCTACCTTTCCAATCTCTAGTAAGCCAAGTGATTCCCCAAAGCTCAACTCACCGATAATGTCGCTTGTCATGAGGATCCACCATTTATGGACATTAACAACGCCTGCTCGTTCCATGTCACCTTTCATACGCTGAATAGTGAACTGGATCCTTGAATCGACCAACGGTTCCACCACGCGGAGCGAGGTATCAGACATTGGCATAGAAAGAAGACGCCGGTGACGCCCATGGAATTGTGGATCGTTTGTGTTAAAAAGGTTGTGAACTCCCTTGGCCGTGAGTGTCTGATACCATGGCGATTTCAAATACTTCCCGCCCACTCGATGAATCTCTCGAGCTGCGCTGATATCCGACACAGCGACCTCGCCAGGACTTAAACGGACAATGGGGCATACAGTGTGTGAAGTCACATCAGCTAAAGTAGTCCTAGTAATCAAACCTACAGGGGAAAAGGTCATACCGTACCATATTTCTGATGTAGAGAGTGGACATACTTGGCTCTCCTCCCAGTTAACCAATGAAGTTGGAGAGGGAGGTCCGTCCAGTTTGTTATCCAGGGTCCTGGGATGGCCCGCACGGCAGAGGACGCGGCTCTTCGAAGCAGGAACTGAGATGTCGGTTAGGAATTTGTGAGATGAGCTGGGGCAAGTTATCATGGACCACATACAAATATTAGTAGAGATAGAGCCGCTGGGAATAGTACTGGGGAATATGGCATTATCGCGAATGGAATCAGGATAGGCATGGCCTTGTTTTGCTGGTGTGTTCCTGGTAGCGGGCGAAGAGAGCGTGTAGTAGTCAGATAAGCGGCTCAGCTTGCTTAAAAATTGACTTGATGGCTATGCATTCTTTCAAGACCCGACTGAAGACAACGGATCATAGACGCAAGGGCAACAATCCAGAGAGTTTTTCAGACCCTTGCAGGCGTTGTAGAGACGCCCCTTGCCAGGGCGGTGTATCATTGCAGGGCATGCCGAACCATTCAGCTCATCCCATGACCTTGCTGCCTAGGTGACATATCCATCCAATATTGTGATGTAAGGGCGAAGGCGACGTCCAAAGCCCCCATTCACGTTGCATACTGGGACTCCCCATCAGCCCTATCAATAATAAGCTTCAGTAGTGTCACGGAATATGGAAGACGAAAGTTCTCACCGGTTATGCCAAGAAGGTACGGTCAAATATAAGTAAATCCGCTTTAACGTTGGCCGCTCCCTGGTTTAACGTCGAGAGGTGAGGTCAACTTCGGTTTTCAGTTTCATAAACCATTTAGACATCCGAAGATCATGGGTACCATGTCTGTATGTCCCTTGGGAAGTGTTAACTTCACTATTTTTGGAGACCAGGCCGGTAGTGGCCCGTCGATACTGTCGGGGCTGGCGCACAATACTCCTTCGAGCCGTTTACAAACAGAATTCGTCGACAGTGTGAGTGAGGCCTTGCGAACATATGTGAACCGAATCCCTGCCCAGAGGCGATGGCAGTTTCCCAAATTTCGGAATTTACGAGATCTTGTCCGCATCTACCTTGACAACAATGGCGCATGCCATTCTGCTATCGGCAGCGTAGTAGTATGCGCTGCACAGCTTTTACAACTTTTCAGGTACGTTCCTACGTTATTATATGAAAGAAGATGTATGTCCTTGACCGGCCACTCACAATTCCGTCATTCGAACTACTTAGCGTTCTCGAACAATATCCCCATTTCCTAGAAGATGATCAAAATGGCTCGGTAGTTGGACTTTGTACGGGAGGCCTAGTTACAGCAGCATACGCAGCCTCCTCCAACCTTGAAGACCTTCAGGCGTTGGCTGTGCCAACGGCAATTCTTTGCTTTGATGTTGGTATGCAGGCGGACTTTGCAAGTTGCATGGTTTATGACCAGGGCGAAACGCCGGAGAGTTGGTCCATGGTCATCGCGGACCTCAGCGAGGCCGAGGCTATTGCTCTTATGGAGGATTACGCCGGCAAAACCCAGGATAAAGGCAATCTTTGCAGCATTTGTTTCCTCAGCGCCGTAACACCCAACGGAGTATCCATAAGTGGTCCCCCGCCAGCATTAAGGGTGTTTCAAGGCTACTTAGCTCGGGAGCAAACAAAGCTGAAACATAGATGCCTACCAATATACGCAGCTTACCACGCTCCACATATTCATCATCCAGTGGACCTTTCCAGTTTTCTGCAAAGATGTAATATAGACGCTGGATATTTGACAGGGTTCTTACAGTGCAGAATGGTCATTTCGCCTAGTACGGGCGAGCTATTGGGTTCATTGAACGCGCTGGAACTCTTCCGCATTGCGATAAATGACACTCTGTGTGCACCTCTCCGCCTTGATCGGGTCATCACGCAGTTTGTATCTACTGTGGAAAAGATGGACATTGCAAACATCCAAGTTACTTTGCTGCCACCCTCTGCCGCGTACGATCGCACCGTCTCCATGCTTGAGACGATGACGCATGTCAAGACTGCCATTAGAAACTTGCCACCACCCCTGGAGCGATCACGAATTCCGGAAAAGCACGCGGCATCGTCCTCAGTTCCGCTTGCAATTGTGGGTATGTCTGGGCGATTCCCTGGGGCCGAGAGTGTGGAGGAATTGTGGAGGGTGCTTGAGGCGGGCTTGGATATGCATAAGACTGTTGGTGAAGTCTGGTCCATTACTCCAGGACACTGTTGATGCGTTGCAGATTCCGCATGACCGGTTCGACGTTAAGACCCACGTAGATGCAACGGAACAGGCTAAAAACACTGCTTCAACACCTTACGGCTGCTTTCTTAACAATCCAGGACACTTTGATCCTCGGATGTTCAATATGTCCCCGCGCGAGGCTATGCAAACAGATCCTATGCAGCGCCTGGCGCTGGTAACGGCGTATGAGGCCCTGGAGATGGCCGGATTTGTCCCGAACCGGACTGAGTCGACAAGGCTCAGCCGTGTGGGCACATTCTATGGCCAGACTAGCGACGATTACCGAGACACGAACTCTGCACAAGACATTGGCACTCATTTCATTACGGGGGGGATCCGCGCCTTCGGTCCGGTGGGTTAGCTTTTGTGGAGCCCTGAAAATGAGAGACAACCTTTGGCTTGCTAACTTTTCCTCTTCTCAGGGCCGCATAAACTACCATTTTAAATTTGGAGGTCCCAGCTACAGCATAGACACTGCTTGTTCTTCTGGTCTTGCTGCCATTCAGTTGGCATGTTCCTCCCTGTGGAGCAGAGAGTGTGACACCGCCGTTGCAGGAGGCTTAAGCATCCTCACCTCTCCTGATCTTTACTCCGGATTGAGCCGTGGGCATTTTCTGTCCAAGTCCGGCCCCTGTAAGACATTTGACAATGATGCAGACGGTTATTGCCGAGCCGATGGAATCGGCACTGTGGTTATTAAACGCCTTAATGATGCGCAACTGGATCGCGACAATGTCCTGGCGGTGATTTTGGGCGCTGCGACAAACCATTCTACCGATTCAATAAGCATTACTCGGCCGCATGCTGGGGCACAGGCCGCATTGTATGATGATATCCTGCATCGAACTAATACAGACCCGCTCGACGTATCATATGTTGAAATGCATGGTACGGGAACACAGGCAGGGGACGGTGTGGAAATGACATCGGTCTTGAAGGTTCTCGCACCGGAAAGGCTCTCCCAACAAAGAAAAAAGAACCCACTGTATGTGGGGTCGCTCAAGGTACATGCTATGATTCAATAGTGGTGATCATCAAAGTAGTAACATGACATACAGGCAAATATTGGGCATGGTGAAGCTGTGAGTTATCATGCTGACTCTCCCTAAATCACAAACAGCAATGTGGCTGATTTGGGGATTTAGTCGTCTGGAGTATCAGCCTTGATTAAAGCTATCTTGATGTTTGAGAAGGCATGCATTCCACCCCATGTCGGTATCAAAAATGAAGTTAACAGGACTTTTCCCGACTTGGATACAATAGGGTGAGTACGAGTTGCTTTTCGTCTCTCTGCCTCAAAATAACCAAGTTTACAACCAGGGTTCGGATCCCCAAGGCAAGCGTTGAGTTTCCCAAATCAGGTAAACCGAGAAAGGTCCTTGTGAACAACTTCAGCGCGGCTGTAAGGGGTATCCTTATGTCAGTTTGGCTGTAAGACTAACGCTATCAGGGAGGAAATACGACTGTTTTGATTGAAGAGCCACCGTCACAAGTTATCCGTTCGACCACCGGTCCATTCACGCTTCATGCGGTGGCTGTCTCCGGCCACACCGAGTCTGCGCTAAGAAAGAATACCGAACGACTGCTTGAATATCTGTCCAGCAACCCTAGTACCCGGCTGTGTGACTTAGCATACACTACTACGGTCCGTCGCCAGCATCACCGCTTCCGAGTTGCTGTCGCAGCAAGGTCAGTCGATCACGTCCGAGCAGCTCTGGAAAGCAAAATGGCCTCGCCTTCAAATATCTTCCGCCCCAAGCGGGAGCACCAGGGGCGTGCTGTATTTGTTTTTACAGGTCAGGGCCCTGCTTACCCAGGGATCGCTCGTGCGCTATACACCGATTCTGGCCAGTTTCGAGCGGATCTGGGCTATTTTGATTCCATAGCCAGACGTCAAGGCTTTCCCAGCTTCATGCCACTGATCGATGGAAGCTCGGGTGAACTTGATTCGCTTTCAACAGTCCAAGTACAAGTTGGCCTGTTCTGTATCCAAGTGGCTTTGGCCCGGCTGTGGTGGTCATGGGGGGTGCAACCTGCGATGGTGGTCGGCCATAGCCTAGGTGAATATGCGGCACTGCATATTGCCGGGGTGCTCTCGGTGGCTGACGCTATCTTTTTAGCCGGCCATCGGGCAACGCTGATGGAGGAGAAGTGCAAGAAGAACACCCATTCGATGCTAGCTGTGGCAGAATCGCCCTCGCGAATCCCGCGGTTGCCGGACGGATGTACTGGGCGTGTGGAGGTTGCATGTCTCAACAGTCCCCAGGAGACAGTGTTCTCCGGTGAAAATGAAGCTATTGGTCTGTTAGAGGATGCTCTGTCCTCAGCGAACATTCGCTGTAAGCGGCTTCCGCTCCATTACGCATTCCACTCCTCCCAGATCGACCCAATCCTTGAGGGTTTTGAGCAGATTGCAAAGAAAGTTCACATGAAGCCTGTTCAAATACCTATCATCAGCACCGTCAACGGACGGCCGCTTAAAGTTACTGACAAGATTGATGTTTCTTATCTGATTCGGCACTCTCGACGGGCAGTCCAATTCTCAACAGCGTTGGAGGCAGCTCGAGAAGAAGGCACATTGAACGTATCAAGCGTGTTTCTGGAACTGGGGCCCCATCCAGTATGCATCAGCATGGTCCGTGCTACGCTCGGAAGCGAATCAGTAGCAGCCTGCGTATCCACATTAGAGAGAACAAAAAGCCCATGGGACGTGGCGGCCACCAGTCTATGCCGATTGCATGAATGCGGATTCAACATTGACTGGGCCGCGTTCTATCGTGAGTTTGAGCCGGGCTATTCTCTCCTTCATCTTCCGTCATATGCATTCGATAACAAGAACTACTGGATTGACTATCGCAATGACTGGTCACTGAGAAAGGGCGATCCACCCTCCACAATTTTACCCCCGGAAGAAGACACGAGGCAACAGAGATTGACCTCATCAGTTCATCGAGTGGTTAAGCGGGAAGGTCTCTCTTCGTTGGAGGAAGATATTACGTACGAAACCGACCTCTGGGATACGCAGTTGCACACAGCCCTCTGTGGCCATCGCGTCAATAGATGTGCCCTCTGTCCCTCTGTAAGTGTTGTTTCCCCCCTTGCCCTTGTATAACCGAACGAGATTTGGATGCTGATAAACTACGATTAGTCCGTCTACGCTGACATGGCCTTGAGTGTTGCTCAACACGCCATTGGTGATGTTGGTTCTAGTGATGACTACGTTTGTCGTGTTATGGATATGGCTGTCACCCAGCCTCTAATCATTATGCCTAAGGGAGAAAATAGGGTTCTAAGAATTCACGCTCGCCATAACGCCGAGAAAAAGGCGATAAGAGTTACGTACGAATCGACTTCGGAACGCGAAGAGAAACGAACAACCCATGCAACCTGCACTGTGGAGTACGGCCTTGACAATAAGTCGTCTCAACGCTGGACTCGGAGCCTACATCTCGTTCAAAGCCGTATGTGTGAACTAGAGGCTCTGGTGAACCAAGGGAAAGCCAGTAAGCTCTCCAATGGTCTGGCCTACAGATTGTTCCAGAGTCTCGTTGACTACACGGCGAACTACCGGAGGATGGAGGGAATTCTCTTCGCAAGCCAATCCCTGGAAGCGTCTGCTATGGTTCGACTGGACCGCCGGAAGTGCGATGAGGGGTTTGTGTGCAGTCCGTACTGGATCGACTCCCTTTGCCATATATCGGGTTTTGTGATGAACGCAAACGACACTATTAACACGCAAGAGATCGTGTATATCTCCCACGGCTGGGAAAGCATGTGGTTCCGCATGCCATTGACTCCTGACACGGCCTATCGGACGTATGTTAAGATGTGCCACGTGGAGAAATCAGTTGTGAGTGGTGATGTCTGGATCCTGCATGAGGGAGAGGTTGCGGGTGTCGTGGAGGGCCTGCAATTTCAACGCATCCCCAGGTCTGTACTAGACATCCTCCTACCGAAAGCTACTTGCACACCAGCAGATAAGCAGGTCTCAGCGCCTTATGGACCAAATCCAGAAATCATCCCGGAGGCGTCGAAAGCCATACCAGCCCCTGGCTCCAGCTGGAACACCATCAAATTCAAGCATCTGATAGCAGACGTGCTTGGTATACCGGAGACTGAAATTCGTCCTGACGACAGTCTCAGTGAACTTGGCATGGATTACCTCGCGTGTTCGACGCTGGCATCCAATTTGATGGACTCCTTTGGAGTGGAGTTTTCCAATAGTAAGATGATGGAATGCACTACTATCGGCCAGCTCATGAATTTGGCGTCTAATTCGGGAGTACATATTTCGTTCACCCCGAGCAATTCAGACGACCAGACAGACTCTTTAGAAGAGAGAACGCCCATTACACCATCAACTGATACGCTCGACCAGTCTCTGCCATGTCCAACGGACGGCGATCGTCGCGATGCTATGAGTCTGATCATATCAACCATCGTTGAAGAAAGTGGTATCCACGAGAGTGGCCTCGATTCTGATGTAGAGCTGGGTGATCTCGGCATAGATTCACTGATGATACTTACAGTTGTGGGCAAACTGCGCGCGGTGGGACTTGACCTCCCGCTTGATTTCTTTCATAAGCATAGGACCATGGGCGATGTTACACGAGCTTTGACTGGCCCTAGTGTGGTGGAAGCAGAGGGCATAGCCAGGGACAGAAGTAACACGAACACAGCGGAAAGCTCACCGGCCTTGAATGTTGCCAAGCTTATCCCCATCCAAGCTGGCCATAAGCCTCGTCGACCGTTGAGGTTGTTCCTGTTTCCAGATGGGTCTGGGTCCCCAGGAGCGTATGTAAAACTTGGCGATCTTCATCCAGCATTCGAGGTCTACGGATTGGTGTGTCCATTTATCAACGATCCCGACAGTTGCACCTGTGGGATTGAAGATTTAGTACGGAAGTACCTCGAGACGGTTAGAAAGGAGCAGCCTGCAGGGCCTTATTATCTCGGAGGCTGGTCAGTAGGGGGGGTGCTTGCGTTTGAGGCCGCAAAGCAACTTCATGCCACTGGCCAAGAGATTCGCCTCTTAATACTGCTTGATGCGCCGTGCCCTGCGGTTATTCCTCCGATGCCGACAAGCTTTATTGATCATCTGGAGGCTGTCGGGGTTTTGCCTTCTACAAAGCTGAAAAACGACGACCAGCGTCGGCGTGTCATGAGGAATTTTAACAAGACGGTCAACCAGTTGTCACGCTACAAGCCCAAGAGCTTTATGCAATCTGAAGAGCTTCTGCATACAGTTATCGTCTGTGCTAAAGACGGTGTTTCCCCGACATCCGCAAGTCGAGCTAATGAAGCTCAACCAGATGGTTCGATCCAGCGCTGGATTCTCGAAAATCGGACCGATTTTTGTCCGTCTGGTTGGGAAGAGCTGCTACCGCGTGCCAGAATAGCTGTTACACCCGTTAGTGGCAATCACTTCTCAATGATGGAGTCGCCCAATGTATGTTCATGCAATCTTCCCCTGTTGCCCGGATACTGACTGTCAGTAGGTACAAGTTTGTTCAGACATAATATGCAGAGCCCTCTCTTCTTACAAATGAGCCCGCTCTATTGGGAACTTTTTTGGGGGCATGAGTAGTATGCTGTGTAACCTGCAGAAATGCACCTGTTTCCGCTTGGACATTCCATATATTATACTGCATTAATAATTGGGCCATTATATCATCGATGGAAACTCTAATCGATTGAATCTCGTGAACTACGATTACAAGTCTCACATGCCAGAAACACCTTCCAGTATTATCCTGGTCGGCCCTCTTTATGAGCATGCTTCAAGAGTGCTTTCCAGGCGCTTCTCAGGCAGTCCATCACCTCTGCCCTTGTTGGCGGAAAAGCATATCGATGTCTTTCCATCCGCCCTTGGGAAAGGTGAGATGGACGGTTTCATCGAAAAGTCTGGATTGAATCAAAGTTTGACAACTTCATCAGGAACTTTCGGAGGCTTCCTGTGTAGACTGGGTATTTGCTGCAAAAAGTGTCCCTTCTCCTTTTGGGGCTTTCATCCACAACATTGAAGTGTCTGAGAAGTGCTTGCGGAACGGTGAGCGTTGAAAACATCCATTTTTTGCTATCGGCGTACTGCAACCATCGCTCTAGCCCCCAATCTTTTGTGTACTGTAACCTAAGGCACGAACACGACTTGGGAAGGGCCTAGTTTCCATAGAGGACCAGACTGCAATCGTCGAACCGTTTGCAGTACTCACGCACTATATAAGCATTTGTGTTCCCTACCCAGATCTATACTCACCCTCACGGCACTCACATTACTACTCCAGTTCAATCTCCGTTTACTCACATTGATCCAATTGTATCTCTACCTACGATATAATGGCACTTGCCACTGAGTCACCGGAGGATGCTCTAGGAAGGTCTCTTGAGACCCTTTCTCTTCGAGAGGAAACCTTCTTGGGGGCTCAAACCCACCACAAGCTGGCAACCCATTTGACGAGCTTCTTAATGCACTGAGACATCGAAACCAGTAGTTTTCTTGCAAGATTACTTCCTCCCGAGCCTACAAACACAGCGATAATTACATCGAATTACCCCAGACGATCCCTTCTTTCAAGAGGCGAGAGAGATATGGGAAAGAGAAGGCTGGGATGGAGAAGGCCTGTCCAACTACATCACATTGTTGTGTGGAGTTTTAAATTTCCTGGTGATTCTTCTACTCAATCCAAGTGGCTGGGACTATCTCCCATGGGACCACATGATTCAAAACTTGCCTACACTGGCATGGATACAAGAGGTATTGGGTCGCTGGGGTTTCACTCTGAGAGAGATCATCGTCATTGACGCTGTTCCACTCCTAACAGATCAAAAGTTGGACGTCACCGAACATATACAATTTGGGTTCTTCAATATAACGGCACCTTTACTTCATTCAGAAGACGTGAGCGATCACCTTAAGCACCAAACGCGGACACTATTCCGTCATGCCATCACCCTACGTGCGAGCTGCTACCCTCACAAAAGAACGCGCTATCAACTCGTGCAGTTCAAACCAGGCGATGTGTACGACCCCGACTATGCGGGCGGAAGACGAGGTTGGCGCAATCGTACCTGTTCCGGAGGACGGACAGCAGCGCCACATCAAGGCCTGCGTGCATGGGATAATGAAGGCCTACTCAGTGCGAGAGAATGCAGCTGGACTCGGTCTGATCAAAGAGCTCAGCCGTTCTGGGGACTGACACACAAGGTCGCATTATAAGTGGAAAGGCGGCCGTTATTCTAGAATGGCGATTAATTATAATATAAGAGCTGTGTCACCGTCATTATGACCTGAAACGTCTAGGTAATACACGACTAGATCCCATCGAGTTGACCAGTCGCGATTGATCAGGAAATGTTGTCAGTGTGCTTCATTTCGTGGCCCCAGCGGGAAATACAGAGTGACAAGAGAATGTTTAGGAGCCAACCACTATAATGACAAGTAAAACGCCTAATATTCTTGGCGGCGTTGTAAATGGCAAAAGGGTGTAACGAGATAGAGCCCAGCAGTAAAACCATGTGCCATGGCCTTATGTATTCCTTTGGCGGACGATGATGAAGGATGGATACCGTCTCGGGCAGAAAGGAATCTTCTTGTTTAACCACCGAAACGGGTGAGAGTTCGCTGTACCCCTTCGGGGCAGGTCAGGAAGAATAAGTGAGAGGGTAATTGGCCCTAGCAAGAGGTCGTGTCCATTCGAACACTAGTTCGGAAGAGCCATATAGAGGAGATAGATGGATACCATTCGTACTAACTACTCCGTAACAAGATGATGATAGGTAAGATGATATTTTGGGATGTTGGATCCGCCACCGGACTATACTGACTAAAAAGCGGAGAACAATGACGCCGACTCAACCAATGTCAACGGCTGTCAGAATAAGCTAGTCCTAAGTTAGGACATGATTTGGAATAGCTGAAGGCGGATAGCGCCTCCCACGAATAACCTAAATACTTTAGTGCTGATTCTGCACGAGAGTGTCATCATTCGTGGGGCTGATGCACTTTCAGCCTCATAAAAAAGACTCCAGGATGGGACCCCAAGACTAATTCCGGCAGTTGCGCCCAAGTGTTTCTCGACAGACATGGAAGACGAGCTCTGAGACACCTTGGTTAATACGGCCCAATTCTCCCTTTGTGCCGATCGCGAACTCTAGCCGCGTCGACAATATGGCTGGCGATACGACGCTCCTGGAACTGCATGAGACCAGATTCAGACTCCGGAAAACACACGAGAAATCTAGGAACGGTTGCCTCAGATGTAAACAACAGCGGAAGAAGGTGGGTCGTTTCTCCATCTTGATGACTCTACACGCAGTGTTCTGATCATATTGCCCAGTGCGATGAGTTGAGACCGAGCTGCTCCAGATGTACCAAGCGCATGTATACATGTCGGTACCAGAACCCTTCCAGTGATGGCAACTTGTCAAAGGAGCAGGGATCGGCTCAACTCCCTGTCCCCAGTTTGCCTGTTTCCCCCACAATTCCCAGTACTGCAGTCCCAAACTCTGTGTCGCCCTTAGCACTTCTGAGTGATCAGTCCTCGGTTTCCAGTCCTTTGTCTGGTGGACAACGTGCTTCCTTTTCAAGTCTGAGTACGGATGAAGAAAGACCCCCCTTCGATAGGCATACTCCTGGTACTCTTGATACGATAGAACTCGGTCTCTTGAGCCACTACCTCACGCACACCAGCCGAACTATACCTGTCGACGATCTCGATCTCTACGCTCTTTCGGTAGGGGTGCCAAATCTCGCTTTTAGCTCCGATGTGGTCATGTCATCCTTGTTAGCCCTGGCAGCAGCATGCAAGTCGCACGATATAGCTAAACGAGCCCAAGCGCTTCCGGACCCCCAGAGCCTAATGGATATTCGAAATCTACTTGCGCTTGCGGAGCGCCATCACCAGGCTTCCCTCCGGCACATACAAGCGACCATGCAGAACTCGGATTCGTACGATCACGTTCTTGCAAACGCAGCATTGATGGTCTTGTACGCCTCTGCTAGCCACTCCATCCGAGTGCACTTGGCAGCCGCTGCAAAAAAGTGTAGGCACAGGCTACCAAATGAGGTGCTTCCGCAACACTCACAATGGATCTCGTTCACACGCGCTGCCCATACTGCGTCTACTGCAATTCTCAACGGTCTTGTGGCCGCAGCAGATGAAATTGGTACCGCCAACTCCAGCCCGATCCCAGTTGCACGATCAAAATTACCGAACCCGGGTTTTTGTAGCTCAGATGGCTTATCACCAGAGGATGGTCCATCCGAGAACACGAAGCGCGTATTTCTGCCTCTAGTCGCATCAACATTTAATCGAGCTCTTGAGAGTCTTTGCAGGAGAGCTGAATTGACAACCGCTCTTTTGAAAAGGTCAGAGCTTTTTGCAGCCGACTACCAGCAGCTACAGGCATGCTTGGAAACTGTATCTGTACTTGAGAGATGTGCATGCGCAGCTCTATCCACAAGAGAAGGTAGCACAAGCGTCGAGCCACCAAAATATCAGCCAATATCATGTGGGGAATTATCTGGAGTCTCACCATGGGTGGCAAGATACATGATCAGTGTCACTTCGATGGAGTCGCCGCAGGTACTCCGACGGATCATCATGTCTTTTCTGAACAAAGCACCTGCTGAGTATCTTAATCTCGTCCAGTCAGTGCTTGATTCCCCCTCCGCGGAGGCGAGAGCTGAGAATTGGATGACACGAGACTCACCTGGCACGGAGGTGCCGCTGCTCGACGCGACACATTTACTAGCAATGGACATCTTTGCCCATTGGCTGGTCCTTGTTATGTTGTTGGATGGCGTCTGGTGGATTAGTGATATTGGAGAGTGGGAGCTTGGCCAGGTTGTATCATTAATGAAGACTCAGGATCTGCCGAGCCAGTCAGCAGATATTGGACAAACGTGGTGGCCCGAGACCATGTACTTAGTTAAGCGGGAGCTCACTCCCAGTGTCTAGCACTGATAGTTCTTGAAATAATCATTTTATGCCAGACTATTAAGCCATCTCATCACTACTCATGCGCAGCGTGTTTGAAGTTTTGAGTATCGACAAAGTCCAACATGAACATAGGGTTTACAGTTTTGGACGAGGGTTGCAGCATGGCGTATTATAAGCGTATTATATGACTCTAGGCCAACAGCCCCATATTTGGAGCATCCTAGTAGGAGAGTATGTGATATAGAACTGGCCTCAGTGTACTTTGTCTATCCCAGGGAATGTTGATTCGCAGGAATGAGTGAACCTATTAACAATACAAACATCAAATGGGCCCGGCTAAGGAATTTTATGGCTGACAAACTCAATTCACGCTTCATTTCCCTCTCTTCCCCAGTTCAAAATCACAATGCAGTCGGTAGTTCATAAGACCATTGTGACTCCCCAGCCCATAGCGGAAGAGAATTTAAAAGAACCTGATAGTACTCAAGAGGCAAGAGGCTATCCAACTTGGACTCGGTGCAACCACGCTTGTCCACCGGTCGGTTCTCGAATCGATCCTCAATCCACCGCAACCAGGTCTGCTTCGCCGCGTTGATGGCGGCAAAATGACTTCCCTGGGGTACAGTCAAAAGTTCCAGATCCCCAGGATAGCTCTTACATGTCTCTTGCGCTGTAGCTTTTGTCGTGTTGTATGGCACTATGGGGTCTGCTGTCCCCTGAACGAGAAGAATCGGTCCTTTGAAGGGCCGCTTTCCAGGGTTCGTGAGTTGCTCGAAAGCTTTTGCATACCAAGTCTCGTGCCAACCAGGCTGCAAGATCGCCTCTTCAGGACTGAACATAGCAAATGTAACCATTTGGGATCCTTCAATCTCATTGAGAAGTTCTATTCTACTCACACCAAGAGGAGTGAACCAGTCGCTCAGGTTGAAAGACGGGTAGATCTGGTTAAGATCCTTCGCAATCCACGCTAGAAACCCTGCAGAGGTAAACGATAGCGTCTCAGTTGGCGGAGCAGCGAGAACCGCGCCGCGATAACCCTTCCCGATATTCTCAAAATCGGTATCGTTCCGCCCGAGAATTTCAGACAAGCCCCAGGCAACCGAGCCGCCCTGGCTGTGGCCCATGACCACATAATCGCTGGAAAGGTGCTTGGAAAAGGATTCCCGAGCTGCTCTCAAAGCGTTCAAAGCATCGTGAGCACCAGCTTCGCGAACAAAGTACTGGTGCGGAACGTGACTTCCATCCCAAGAGACGTCCACGCCGAGGCCGGCATAATCTGGGGCAACAACAGCGTATCCAGCCTCGGCCAGCGCGAAAGGTACAATGTCCGCGTAGAAAAGGCCACGGTGTGTCGAGGGAGCTCCATTGGCATAGAAGCCCGAGGTTCCATGTGTCCATAGCACAACAGGTGCGGGTAACCCAGCGTTGTGGTTTTTGCGTTGGAGAACTTTTGGCTGGAACGGCCAAAGGATATAGGCGGAAGCAGGGATCAGAGTACCATTTGCATTTGTCGTGCTATAGATGATACGGGACATGGCCGTCTTTGCGGGGATGGAGAATGGTGACGGATCCGTAAACTCCTGGAGCTTGATTGTCTTCCCAGGCTCTGTGGGCCATTGGTCCTTGGGCAGGCCCTGGACATTGTAGAAGTCATCCTGATGAGCTCCACCATTGGCAAGCTGAGACAGGTCAAAATTGGTGATAGTGTTGATGATGGCGCCCTGGTCGCTTGTCAGGTTGGCCAACTTGAGCTGTTTCGGGCTGAGCTCGAAACTCGCATTCCATCCGGTCGACTGTGTCGCTGCAGCTGAAATAGCTTGACTCGTGACCAATCTAACTCCGAGCACCAGGATAGCGACGTATTGGATGTATGTAAACATCGTAACGTTGGTGGTTGCCGTCAAGGGATGCGTTCAGATCTTTGATAGTTTTCAAGAGAATTTGTTGACGTTGAAAATGGACATCCTCATTGCTGTCTGTACCTTTTATATTCGAACCCGTCATCACCAGACAGATTGTTCTCGCAGAGATCGACGAAGCTCACGTCAGGTCTTGCTGCAGCAATGTCAAGCAAGGTAGTAAAATTACAAAGCACCGTCCTATAGCCCAGATCCGCCATGTCTTCTAGAAGGAATTACGCTGTCGTAAGCGATTGTCGTAAACGATGCCAGTGCTAGTGCATACAACTACAAGCCATGACACACTCCGTTGTGGGGATGCGCGCTGGGACAGGGCTGAGCGCCACGGCGTATTACTAATACGCCCAAGCCGCATCTAATCAAAGCCCTGATACGGCAACAGTACGAGACCAGCCAATATCCGCGTGCTGACAGTCATTCTTGGCGCAGGCCATCCGATTGAGGGCTAAGGAAGGGGGCTGAGCTGTGCGTATAGGAAATTTGCTTGGGACTCTGATGCGCATACGCAGTAAACGAGCTAGGCTGAAGGATACCATTTGGAATTCATCCTTCGGATATGATGTGCTGGAACGAAAAGAGCCATATGTCGGTACATATATAAGGACCCTCATTGCCTCCTAAACAACAAACCATCATCCTCTGTTACTCACAACAACAAGACATCCTCTCAATACCCAACTCCAACAGCCATCATGCTTCCTGACTTTCCCCTACACTCCGTCCTCGCGGTGATGCTCGCCTTAGTCCCTTTGGCGAGGACAGCACCTCAACTGACAACGAAGCGCTCGGCATCGGAACTTAGCTTGACAGCTCAGCTGCGACTTGCAGACACGTAAGTACCTCAACATGGACTCAATGATGCAGAACAAAATGATCTGATTGATTATTTAGCGCCATCGAACGTTACAAGCTCCTCCCAAAGGATGAAGATTTTGTCTTCAATTTCGCTGGAACCTCGTTTCCGGTTGCCACCAGCCAGAATTTTCCCGCCCTAGTCGGCACTGGTGTATCCTTCAGTATCTCGCAATTGCCAGGTATTCTTGACCAGAATGGCTTTACTTCTTGAGCTACGCTAATCCATCTCAATAGCATGCAGCATGAGCTTCCTGCACCTCCATCCTCGTGCAACTGAGCTCTTCGCCATTACCTCGGGGCGCGTGTTGTCTGAAATGGTACCTGAGGCGGGCGTCCTTGACTCTGAAGGCCACCAACGAGTCATCCGTGCAGAGCTCGGCCCTGGCATGGTGACCATTTTCCCGGCTGGGTCGTTTCACACGCAAGTGAACCCAGACTGTGAGCCTGCCAATTTCACCGCAGCCTTTACCTCGGATGAGTTTGCCGTGGGTCTTGTCGCTGCACAGACATTTTCGCTCAGTGATGATGTAATTGCTGCCACATTTGGGGAGACCATCGCCGGTGAGGATATTGAGAAGGTCCGGCATGCTATTCCTGCGGCCATGGCCATCAAGGTTGAGGAATGTTTGACCAAGTGTGGTAAGCAGAAGCGCCAGGCTTGAACCAGTTCGGTGCTGTATATATCCTGAGGTGATATTCAGTGCTGAAGACCCCTTAGCCAGCAGTTGCTTCCTACTTGGACGCAGCCAGGCTACCCGACAGTTTTGACTTGGCTTATTATAAGGGGTTGCCTCATTGCACGGGATCGTATTTCATATTCTACAAAGGCTCTCTACGGGCAATTCTGCGTTTTAGTCTGCACTAGAATCGTAATATTCATATATGCATTATTATACTGATAGAAAGAGTAGAGGAAGAGCAGCATAATAGTGTATTACAGCCAAATTACCTAACAAGTCCCAGCGGAGAACCAATCCTCACCCGTCAAGTATGCAAACAAGTATGTAGTCACGGTCATTCCTTAACAAATGTGTCATGCTCAGATCCTCCCAAGCGTCGCCTCCATGTTGCAGGGTGGCTATGGTCATACAAAAGTCACTCTCCCCCCACCGGCTCAAGGACCTAGTCTATATTCGATTATGGTTATTCAGAGATGCCCTTCAATCTCTGCAAATACGTATTTCACCAGCTATATTGTTTCCTTGATTTCATCGACAGCAGTTGGTTATCTTCCGGGGTTATTGACTTTTAAGGATCTTCGGGGATGAGATACAAGCACTTTGTAACATCATTTGGGCAAATGGTTCTTCGTAGATTTGCTGTAGTTGTTCCATTTCAAACCGCACGGCCGAGAGAAGAAAAGAAAAGAAAAAGCATCAATTTGATAGTCATTATCCGACCGGACGTTTTCTCAGAACCGCCGAACTCTTAGGATCCCCAGGTAGAAGATTCTCATTTCGCCCAAATTCTGCAAGCTGACAAGCTCAAAGTAAGCCGATCGCTTCTGCATCAGCTCAGAATGAGTTCCACACTCGATGATGCGGCCTCGGTTGAAGACATAGATCATGTCTGCCTTTTGCACCGTACTGAGACGATGCGCCACCGCGATCGTCGTGCGGCCTTGAGCTGCGGTATCCAGAGCGGCTTGCACGAGTTTTTCAGACTCTGAATCGAGAGCGTAAGTGGCCTCATCCAGCAAAAGGATTCTGGGGTTGCGGAGCAATGCTCTAGCTATTGCAAGACGTTGCTTCTGGCCACCTGACAGCATGCTGCCTTACTACCAACGAGGGTATCGAAACCGTTCGGCAGACTGATGATGAAATCGTAGATGTTTGCGTTCTTGCAGCATAGCACCATTTCGTCTTCCGAAACGTCATCTCGGTCCGTACCCAGCATAATATTCTCACGGATGGTACCTTGGTAGAGCGTTGGCTCTTGGTTGACAAGTGCGAGATGGGAGCGATAATTGTTGATGTTGAATGACGAGATTTCCTTGCCGTCGACATAGACACCGCCGAGGACTGGATCGTAGAATCTCTCCAAGAGGACAATTGCAGTGGATTTGCCACATCCACTAGCTCCGACGAACGCAACGTACTGCCCGGGCTTGACGTGCAGATTGAGACCTCGCAGAACGAGCTGGTTTGGTCGCGTCGGCTACCTGAAGTACACGTTTCTGAACTCGACATGGCCTTCTATACTCTGGACCATCTCGCCATCATGGCTCCAGCTATCGACATCCGGCGTCCGGTCGAAGAGAGCCTTGAGACTAGCAGCAGCGTGCCTGGCTTTGGCAATATCCGGTGCAAAGCTGAAGATGGTCCCTGCGGACTGCGCCCCGAAGATGATTGTGCTGAAACACAGGAAGAATTGAAACCTGAACATAAGGGTTAGAACTAATATGGCCTGTTCCGGGAATTGTCATCTACCCACATGGAATATTCGTGTCTTCCGAATAAATTACCTCCATACCAAAAGCCGAGAGCCATGCAAAGTGATTGAAGTGATTGAGATGCCGCGTAAAGAACGGATGACTTGAGAACCGACCACACTAATCTGCGGCCTTGCGAGAGGAGCTGTTCGTGGTAGTGATTGCAGACGTCCGCCTCGCGGGTCAAGGAAGCCAGGTTCGGATGGCTGAAGTGGCCTCGCAGGCATAGCTTGCAGATTTTTCGTAGGCTTTCTTCTTCTCCTTCTCGAGTCGGACCAGCATGGCCAAACGGAAGTACCCACAAGCGAGAAGGAGGGGGATGGTGGACATGCACACCAGACTAAGCTTCCACCCTACGGCCAGACCAATGGCGCAGGCGGCAACTAAGGTGGTGACCAGCAAGAGAATCGTCATAAGAGTAATCCCAGACAGCCCAGCCAGGTGGGAGGTCTCAGTGGACAGGAAAGAAGTGAGAGCACCCGAGGAACGTTTGTCGAAAAAGGCAATGTCTTGCCGGAGGATATATCGAAATGCTCGGTCGCGAACCCGATGGGTAAGTCGCTCTGCGCAGTAAGAGAACGCAATGCCCTGAGAGATGAGAGCGAGCAGCTGTACAAAGGCGAGCATCAAATACATCAGCGACCAAAAATTGGCTTGTCGCCGTATCTCAGAGCTCTCTGAAAGAGGAAGCGAAAGGGCTGTAATGCACTTGGCGAAGAAGACAGCTTGTATTGGTTTACCTCCACCACAGACAGCCGAGAGTAAAAGTCCAAAGACCATATATTTCCATTCTATTTTGTTCAAACCAGCGACAAACTGTATCAGCGAACAAGGTATAGTTGTCGGCAATGTCCTCTAGTCCCTTCTTCGGAAGTGCCATTCTCGATGCGGTCCTGTCTGATCGTGTCTTGTCCACCTGCAGGTCATCATGGTCTTCTTCTTGAACCTCTTTGTCTGAGATGTAGCAATTCTCCTTGAATTTGGGTCGCCGTAAATCGTGATCGGTTTCAGGCATTATGGGATCTTCATCTTGGTTTCTAGACTCTTGCTTCGTCGCGATTCGCTGAGCCTCAGCCAAGTTGTAGTAAGCCCCTTTCTTCTGGAGAAGGTCATCGTTGGGTGCCCTGTTCAACAATACGTCCGTGGGACATAACCACAATATTGTCCGCATTCTTGATAGTGGACAGTCGGTGAGCAATGATCACGGTGGTTCGTCCCTGGGCAGCTTTGTCGAGTGCGGCTTGCACAACTCCCTCGCTCTTAGTGTCGAGCGCGGATGTTGCTTCGTCAAGTAGCAGGATCTTAGGATTGCTAACCATGGCCCTAGCAATGGCAATGCGTTGTTTCTGACCTCCTGAGAGAAGGAACCCTCGTTCGCCAATGTCGGTTTCGTAGCCCTCGGGAAAGGAGGTGATGAAGTCGTGGGCCTGGAAATCAACGAAGTCAGAACATCGTGTCGTATATGGTACGAGCAGAGAGGGGGTGTCGGAGGCAGGGCATCATGGCAGTTGCCTTACTTACGTTTGCCATCCGAGCAGCACGTTCGACCAGCTCACAAATTGCTTTTTCGGACTCATGCTCGTGCGCTGTTCAGATCAAACCGTGCTTGATATTGCCAAATATCGTAGTAGCGAATAAGGTAGGCTCCTGGCTCACCAGAGAAATTTGTTGTCACAACAATGAGCATGGTATTTTCTTCAGATAGATAGGCGTTAGGAATAGCCCCAAAAATATGATTTTTATGGAGAAATCTACGGTTACGGTGTGGGTGTGTATGGCACAGATTCCACAATATGTTGAAATATATAATTATGGATATGAGACCCTAGACTGAAGGAATCATATCATGTCCAGACACCTTTTTCGCCTAGTGGTATTATATTTCTATACAATACTATAGAAAATGATTGCAGCCTCTGCCGTGTCAAGAAACAGACTACCTGAGAATTCATAGCCTATAACTCATCCAATGAAAATGATTGGCTATGCATAATCGATTCCAAGTTTTGTTTTTGTTGATTGACAGCGGCACATGACGGGATGATGAAAGCTAACGCGTTTAACACAAATATAAATGATCAACCCGCCACGGTCCACGACTCCACACTAATCCTCTTCAACATCACATCTCGACACATTCGACAGCAGACATGCCTCGCCTCGACGATAGCACCGAAGCGCTCCTTCGAGCAGGTTACAGCGCCCAGAGTACGGTCAAGCGTGCTTGGGATGGCTTCGTCAATTTTGCTGTGCGAGACAATGTTCTTGAGGTTGCATTGGGTTTGATGTAGGACTCTCTTTGTCCTCTTAAAGGAATTGACTGACATTGTTTAGTATCGCTCAAGCATTTACCAAGGTGGTTACTTCTTTTGTCTCCGATATCATTCTTCCCATTATCGCTCTTCTTCCATTTTTGCATCGCAACTTCGACGAGAAGTTTGCCGTGCTCCGACGTGGACCACATTATGTCAAGGAGAAAGGGTATAATACCCTCGAGCAGGCGCGAAACGACGGCGCCCTGGTACTGGCTTATGGGTATGCTCACCAAGAAAGAATATATGGCCACCTTTTGAGTTTGTTGAGCTGACAGAGTGGCACAGCGCATTCCTCGAGACATTGCTTAGCTTTTTCGGTGTCAGTCTTACATTGTATGCGATCGGACATCTCTACACGTGGATCTCCAATGATCAGGTCATTAAGCAAACAGTGCGATGCAAATATTGTCGGAAGGACATTAGTGAGAAGGTATTTACCTCCTGTTCAATCTGGAATGTCCAGGGTCTGATGTGTTTTAGGCATTGCGCTGTGTCAATTGTACCAGCTGGCAGGACGGTCGCGAGGATTCGCGTCAACAGTAGACTTTCTTGGGTAGAGGCCTTACTATCGAGCAACTACAGAGAGCCAATAGCATATATAGCATACATACGTTGGATTATTTCTACTGCCAGCTTCTTTTAGTTTGATTTTTAACCTTCTTGATATTTGCACGGAACTGTTAAACCGAGAGGATGACATCATTTGAAACTATAATGCTTTTTAGTCTATGTAACACAATTCAGCTCCTTCTTCCAACAAGTGGGCTTGTGGTTTAGTGGTATAATACCCCCTTAGCATGGGGGTGGTCCGGGGTTCGATTCCCCGCGAGTCCATTTTTTTTGCCTTTTAATTTTATTTCCTTCAACCGTTTTTGCACCTTTGCAATCTTGATTGTTTTATGGTTTTATGGTTTTATTCCCATATGTGATTGTAGACTATAATTACATCATTATTCAGTTGTAGCCTGCACCTATCACACTAGCTCTATGATCCATCGCAACTGATGAAGACGAGGGCCATCCTCTTCTGTCAACCTTGGCTATCAGAGTCTATTCACAAGCATATTGCGCCACCTCAGACATTAGGTCAATTGTTGTATAGTTCCGAAATCTCAGACAGAAGCTAGCAAGGGGCGATTCTGCATCAGACGCGCTACCGCCAGTAGCAAAGTACCAACTAAGAGACTGACACCGGAGTAGATAGAAAGCGAAAGATATCCATATTTGCCAGCCAGTTCACCACTGATAGGGATACCTGCCATTGCGCTGTGAAAAAGTTAGCTTTGCATGTTGAAATTTGTAGGTACATACGAGAGAGATGTAGATGCCATGACAGCACCAATTGACAAGCCCAAGGTCTTTGATGTTGCTATTTGGGCTGCACACGCTTGTTGAAGGGAGAGAATAGCCTAGGAGGGTGTCAGCATTATTATGAAAGGAACTGAAGAGTTGACCAAGGCGCACCCCAGAAGTGAATCCATATGCGGCAGACCAAACTACCAAGCCTGCAACGGACGTGGCAGTTGTCCAGCATAATGCGATGACACCGGATAACAGTGTTGCGACAATGCATGTGTTGAACCGACCATATCGATCCGCAAGGATGCCTGCAAAAATGCGGCCGAAGAAGGACGCTCCGTTAATGATGGAGATTGTGTAGAATGACAAGTCGGCGGAGAAGCCCTGTGCCACGGCATAGGAGGTGGTGAAGAAGAAAGGAGAAAACATTCCGAAATAAGTGATAAAAAATGCCAGACAAGTCACCTGCATCTTGGGCTCTCTCAAAATCGAAAATCCTGTTCTGGGAGTATTGACAGGCTCCTGGTCTGGAATCACACCCTCGTTGGCGTCTGGTCTCTCTGGCAGCGTCTTCATGGCTGCTGGAGCCTTAGGAGGTCGACAACAAAGACATGAAACGGCAAGAAGAGGCATCATAATGAATCCGACGATGCGCATCGTCCACTCAAATCGAATATTGGGCTTTTTCAGGAGCTCGTTAATGACAATAGGCCAGATAACACCTCCTAGAGATGAACCTGCAATGACGATTCCCATAGCGGCTCCACGCTTGACCTTGACATACTGACCGACAAGAGCAAGCATGGGGCACACTAAAAGTGCCAGGGACACGCCGAGCAAGATACCTTGCGCAAGAATGAACTCGTAGAATTTTGTGCAAAGCGACGTCATCATGACTGAGAAGACAGTCCCGAAAGAGCCTACATAGAGTAACAGCTACGAAGTCTGTCAGCTACATAGCAGTTCAGGAGTAATAAGGGGGACTCACTCTTGGTCCAAAGGCGTCAAGCAGAGGGCCAGACACTACGGACACGGAGAAGACAAAGAAGATACTGAGAGCCCCAAGCCATGCAATTGTCGATTCAGACTTGTCCGCCAGCTGATTCTTCGCATAGTACTCTTCAAAGACACCAAAAGAGTTCAAGAAGCCTACGGTACAGAAAAGACCCGTGAAGGAGCCGAGAATGGTCAAGTTCGCTCGTGGTCTAGAAAAATTGCATGAGTTAGTCCATCCTCTGAGATGACTTATTTTGCGGTGCCCAGTTCTGAACGTACGTGTACTCGCTAGGTGGCTTCTCGTCAGACATATTAATTTGTCGCTCCGATGACATTAGCTTCAATGAGAAGAAAAGCGATCCTCCTGTTACCAGACAGTGTAAACTGTGAGATTGTAGTGACTTGTTTGGTATGATGGAAAGTCTGCAATGGAACAAGAGGAGGCATCGTTACTTATATAATGCCAATCAGTGAACTTTTACTGATCATAATACAGGATAGTCGGAGACTCCACGGAGGGACCATATTCAAGGCTGATGTGAACGACCGTATTCCCTATCATTCAATATCCGGCGCCGCCGTGGACAGTCCGCGGAAGCTCCGATGACACAGGGAAGAGACATATTCTTGACGCAACCACACCCTGGTTAATGTATCAAATAGATTCGAACAAATCTAAACTAGGCTGATGGAGATTTTCAATTTTCAACCTATCTTTGAACGGATTCTGTCTGTCAATGAGGTGATGAAGCAAGACAGCAGCATTCTTGGATCTTGACTGACACGACCGTGGAACACGTGACTCCCCACGTACCCCGTTCTCTTTTCAGCTGCATTGAGCAGTAATCATTTCAACAATCACACAAGAATATGAAGCGCAAATCAGCTCCAGACTCATCCGATACAGGGGGAAAAAGGCCTCCCAGACAAGATCCAGTGTCCTGTGAATCTTGCCGGCGGAAGAAGCTCAAATGCAATCGTCAGCGACCATGCAGCAGCTGTGTTACTCGAAGGCTTGATTGCAGCTATGGAATATCGCAGGAGATCATTCAACCTACGACAGTCGAAGCAGAAGGTGCAAGCCATACCAACACTGTTCCATCAAGTCAAGGGATTAGAGGCCAGCCCAGGGCGACTGGCGCCATGACTGCTCATACGATCACGAGTCCTCGGCCAACACGAACGAGTAATGAATCACTCAAAACAGCGGACTGGCTAGAAAATATCGTCATGTCAGATCGAATTGCAACTGTAGTTTCGAGGCATCTGCAAGACGAAGTCAGCCTGTCTGAAGCCGGTTATGACCCATCCAGAGGCAGCGGAGATTCGCGCCTCGGTGAAGTGGCCCCAGATTTTTTTCGGCATCGGTTGGCATCGAGTGAAAATCCGATGACGGTCGATCTTGTGTCTTATCTCCCAGAGATGTCAAAAACAATGGCACTGTTCAGATACTATTGTCATTATGTCGATTATCTGTATCATGTCATCATTCCGTCGCGTGTCGAGGGTCAAATCAATCGCATCTACCACTGCATCGACAAAGGCTTACCCGTCAATTCAGCCCAGATAGCGCTGCTGTTCAGCATCTTGGCCAGCTCGGTTTATTTCCAGTATTCCAATGGACTGTCCACGTTCGCAGAGAGATGTAGCCGCGAATTTATTTTCTTGGCCGGTGCAGCATTGATAAGAAGCAATTATATTGCATGTCCTACCCTTGAGGGACTACAGGCGTCGCTCGTTGTCATGCATTATCTGCCCAATCCCAGTTTCCACTCATCTGTCTGTTCACTGTTTTTACTCGGGACGATCATTAGTCAGGCCAAAAACCTCATGCTGCATTGTATTGACTCGTCCCGCTGCCGAGAAGAAAGGGAAGCGAATGGATTCGACGCACTTGAGCTAGAACTAAAGAGACGCCTTTGGTGGGATATTGCGAGCTTTGATTGGTAAGGTTTGCCATGCGATTAGATTGAAACCGGGGCTGATTCTTTCTGCAGGCTATTAGGTTTCCTGAGCGGTCCCCAGGAGTGGACATATCTGATTAACCCCCAGCTCATGAATGTCCGGGAACCATTGAATATCGATGATGAAAGCATACAGGGCAGAGCAGTTGTCTCACCGTCACCAATGTCAGAGCCAACCCAAATGTCTTACACTCTTCAGCGACTCAACCTGGCAGTCGTATGTCGCGAAATAGTGGACATGACAGCCTACGAACACATGCATGGAATCGACGTAGGTTACGACAAAATCCTCGAATTGGACCGCAAGCTGCATCAAGCATATAACAACCTTCCGGAATTCTATCGGCTGGATACTGTTTCCAGGCGTCGATTCGCACCCCTCTATCGTAGCCAGCCGACGATCGCATGGCAGAGGTGTCTTTTGCAACAAGCTTACCATTCGCGTTTCTGCCGACTGCACCGTCTGTATTTTATCCGGGGTGCACGAGAGCCCGCGTATTCTTATTCCCATGTAATCTGCCTTCAGTCTGCGCGTAAAGTGCTGGAGATCAAGAGAATCATGGACGAGGACGAACCAAGGTTCATGCCGCCAGCATCGGCTGTCTGGTCCGTGATGCATCACGTTTTCATGGCTGCAGTGATTCTCCTGATGGACGTCTGCTTCAATTGGGATGACCTTCTGGCTGATAAAAGGAAGCAAGAGGTGCTTGATGCGTGTCGTATGCTCAGCAAGGCTCAACGAACATCATCTTTGGTTAGCCAGGGTATCCAAGCCATGATGGATGTGCTACAGAAGCACTGGAAAAGTGGTAAGCACTCCTCCACGGATGTGCAGCCTTCGAATCTACCATCGTCTCCTGCCTTGGGTGCTACCGCTGTTGCAGAGCCAGCGCAAATCGTCTCTTATCAAGACTCGGAAAACCCAATTGATATGAAAGATTCGCCTGCAAACTCCTCTTTTCCACTTGATCAAAATGAGAGTCAAGAGCGGCCGCTCGAGGATATATGGACGGAGATGCTTGACAGTGGCGGCGACTTGAATTTCGCAACACCGGACTGGACGGACTTGTTGACCGAATTGACAAATGCCACGCTGCCGTGTAGTTGATACAGCTACCATGGATGCAGGCATTCTCTGGATGCGAATCATCGGATACCGTACCTGACTCCCTTTTGGACGATGATGTAGTTATTACGATCCGATCGCCGCGCCATCAGCTCAACTCAAAAAATCGCAGGAAGGAGAGTTCAACCGTTCAGAGCTGTGAAAACAACAACGAGGCGGTTGGGACCGAGATTGAGAATGTCGCGAGATTCGAACAATCTCCCCGTCACTAAACGCTACATCACCACCCACAGCACCGAGGGCGAGTCGGTGTTCATCTCCCACTCTCAAATCCCGGAATATATCCCCTCAAAGCCGATCAGCGATGATGGGGATATTGCTCTTCTCTACGCAACAGTATCCAATCCTGTCTCTGTGGACGACGAAACTGACGTCCAGGCTTACGATGAGTACCTCCATACCTCGCCCGGCTTGACGACTTCGCTTGGCACGGTACTACGAACCATCGACCTGCGTCCAGGAAAGACAAGTCCCATGCACCGAACGGTTAGCGTGGACTACGGAGTGGTTCTGGAGGGCGAGGTTGATTTAATCCTGGATTCTGGGCAGAGTCGGATATTGCGGCGTGGGGATGTGAGTATCCAGCGAGGAACGGCGCATTCGTATAGGAATCGGAGTGATACGGAGTGGTGTCGAATGTTGTTTGTCTTCTTGCCAATGCAGAAATTGACTATTAAGGGTCGAGATCTGGACCAGGAAGTGTATGACGAGCACTATGATCACGAGAGCGGGAGTGAGAATGAATCACAAGCGGAAATTGGAAATGGGAAGAGCTCTTGACGATGGTGTATATCATATAATAGATTCGTTCACTGTGTATAAGCTTGCAAATCTGACTACACTATTACTCGACGCTGATATTCACCTTATCCTTGTCTGCCAGCGAAAATGGTCAATCAAGGCCTTTCAGTAGAAATGACAGGGTACAAGGGACTGACAGAAAGCAACATAATCTTTGATATTCTTCGCGGCGTCATAGGGCAGGGCGTAGTACCACGCCACATTTGGGATTGATTTATCTATATTGTGCCGGTGAGGTTATTTTCTAGTGCATCAAAGATGATATAACGATGCAAAAGATAATACCTCCAACAGTTACCGTGTAGTATGAAGCATCTCCCTTCCAAGAGCAATGAGTCGACAAGTCCGTTGGAGTGAAAAGCGACTTGTTTATAGCTGATGGTGGAAACTACAGGTTATGACAGATTAATACGCATTTTCGGCCAAGCTTCTACTATTTCTGGGTTTGATAATCAGAATTACCGTCAAAGATACTTACATAGATATTGCCTTCGACTGTCTCCCAGTTGTCGGACTCCGCGAGGACGGTTCCATCGAGAGTTGCTCTTGCTCGAGGCATACTGAGATGATTTTGGATAATTAGTGAGAAAGCCTAGAAATCTAAGTTGAAGATATGATGATGATGGACTGACAGTGTGATGAAACTGACCTGTATTCTCTGAAAATGATCACAATAAAAGGAAGCAACAAGTGCGGGGAAACAACCTGCAAGATGACAAATGACCAAATGATCACAAATCCGATAAGACGCAAAACAGACAGATCAAACACAATTAGCACTCACGGATAACGTGACAAACCCCATTGTCCACCCTCACACCTATCTTAATAGGATGATCAATCTTTCTTCCCCTTGCCAGGCGGAGGAGATGCGCTCGATCGGGGACTAAGCTCATAGTCCGAGTCGAAGTTGAATTCCTGGTCGTATGGCCAGTCTAAGCGCAGTTCTGGCTCGACGTCATCACCCCAGACCACTTCCTGACCGGCTTCTGGTCTCTAGTCTGCCAGGTCCAAGCCTTCCACCTTCTCGAGCATTCTGTCGAGTTGTGAGATAACATCGTTCAACCGCCCGATACAGCAGGGCTTGCGTGACACGTCAAGGTGTCCCAACTTGAATTATGGTAGAATTTGCGATCGTCTGACAATAACCGTAATCCTTCCACAATCCTGGACAGCTTGGTTTCTTTGTTTGGGGGGGCTTCCATCAGCACTTGCATATGAATGCGTGCGTGCCGATCGCATTCCTCATGGCAGATAGCTTTGCCATTCTTCTCGGCCTGTTTCAAAGGTGTGATCAGCTTTGACTGTATCAAAGAACTTATATCGCGGATTAGTTCGTGGCGTATCGCCAGGAGATCGTCTATTCAGACTCTTAGGCCCTTCCGCAAATACAATGTATACCGCTTCAATGAACTGACGTGAAGGAATTCATGTAGTACACCACAGGCCGAAACCTCTTTCCGCCCTACATCTACTAGCAACTTTGAATTGCTTTCTCACTGGCCAAAAACATCTTTCTGTCCAACAGTGCGCCTGCAGTGGGTACAAGCACTCCAACAACAGACCCAAAGGACCACGCTAAACCATCTTTGTCTGGGGTTTGGGATTCCACCTCGTTCAACCTTGGATTTGATTTGTTCATACCATTACGGGGCCAACCGTATCGTAGTAACAGGATTACTCTGTATAAAAAACCGCAGACCAAGCCTGAAAAGACCCGAGGCCGACTGAGTCAATGGAAAAGAGAAATTAAAGATAACTCTAAGCGACCAATAACGTGACATGAATGATGCGCTCGTAGCCGGTATACTCCGCTAACTAGAAATAGGGCCGGGAGTCCCAGATCATATAAGACTAGTCAGGTGCATACATTCCAGTTTTATTGTGCTTGTCGCGTTGAGAGCCTCTTCACGCCAGACAACCTCCAGGCTATCCATCCCTTCGTTTCCGCATCATAGCCAACATGCGTCTCGCTGCTGCTGCTGTCGTGCTCGGCGCCGGTGCCATCACCAGCGCCCAACTATCCAGCATCCCACAGTGCTCTGTAAGACCTGTCCGCTCAATGCCCCGGCTCCATATCTTGTTTCAAAACTAACCCGTGTTCTCTTCTCCTTCTTCCCCTTGAAGCTTAGCTGTCTCACTTCGGCCCTTGGTGCGGACGGCTGCTCTGAGCTGACGGATTTCGCATGCCATTGCCAAAAGACGGGCCTTGTGGAACAGGTTGTGCCCTGCGTCAAACAAGCTTGTGATGTCAAGGACCAACAAGGTATGAGAAGCTACATTCCCGTCCATATGATCCCCTCTAACCATGCCCTTTAGCTGTTTCCAGTGTCGTCGTATCTTTGTGCTCTGGTGCTGGCCACCCGGTCTCTGTCCCGCCGGTGGACTCATCGGCTCCCACATCGACTGCTGCAGGAAGAGTTCCCACCACCACATCGAGCAGCTCCAATTCTACCACGGTCAGTGGTTTGGGCGGAAGCCCTCGGACTTCGTCTGCGGCCTCCAAGACTTCGACTATGGGTTCCACGACTTCATCCACGGTCAACACTGCTTCGCCTTCGAGCACCTCCCTATCCAACGGGGCCTCTGGTATTGGATCCGGAGCTGCTCAGGTGGCTGGTACTGCCATCCTGCTAGCCAGCATGATGTTCCTGGTCTAAAGAACGGCGTGGAGAAAGAGACTTGGAGGTTCTTTCCACTGTTGTCTGATATACTTAATTTGACGCTGGTAGCTTCTTGGTACCAAGCTATCTCAAGCTACAATCATTTATAATATCTCCTATTCTAGAATACATTATACAATTACGACACTGTGGAAAACCTGACTGCAGGGTGCATTTCTTCACTAAATGTCTGTCTCAACCTAGACCCTAGAGCCTTCTCAAATTCGATTGTTATGATCCATGGAAAGAATAACGATGAGCGGAGTCCTCAAAAGAGGAACGCCATGTGACACGAAGGCAAGGTATATTTATGGTCAACACATTTCGACTGACTGGTTCACATGTATAGAAATGCATGAAGTCTCATTGAAATGGCGTCATGGCGGTTCGAAGCAAGGCACTCTTCAGCAACACTTCCTATATACATATGCACACCTCTAAAAGCTGGGTATGCGGAAAACAGAAGTCCCATCGAGAGACATCGTAATATAAAACACTCTAGTTGTAATATTGGATGCAACATCGGCACCAGCAAACTAACTGAAATTAGAAAAAAGCTTAAATACGTCCTTGGTTCTGAGTCTTTAGATTATTATTCGTGGCAAGCGTCAGGAAACATCTCCGCCAGAACATCCCTTCGGCTGTTAATCTCGATTCGGTTAGATATCCGGTCGATGGCTGCTTTAGTCGCACCTGGCCACCTTTGGTCCCCACGGGGTAATTAAACAGGAATTGTTCAATGCGGGCAATATCATGCATCACTACAAAGTTGGGATTAAGGATCGTGTGCGGTTTGGTATCTGCTATCGTCGAAATCAGGAATTGGGCGAACTTTCGCAGAAATCAGTTTCCACCGGGGAAATGAGATTTCAGCTGATGGCACAGTGACGAGGTCCGAGGAGAACTGACTGGGCAGACTTGAGGATTCAGATAAAGTTTCTTGGCTCTAGTATTTCTCCCTTCAGTTTGGGCATGGTTCTTCTTGCTGTCTTGGGTCATGTACACTACAGAGTCGGAACGAAGTTAAATCCTAAGGTGAGGTTCAAAGTCTGCATTGACCAATTGATTCATACGCCCAACGCGGGAGATTAGGGTACAATTTGCCACCACCACGCAGGCACTACCTATTTTGAGTTTCAGGCACATGCTCAAAGTTAATGGGGCACTCTCCATGTACAGGACTCACCTCGGTCAATCAATGTCTTGACAAAATGGTGGTAAAAAAACACGTGAAAGGACGCGTAATGCTTAGCAGCAGGCCAGCACTTTTCATGTCAAAAAAACTAATCCTGTTGGAGAGCACGCTACACAGCGCCGCCCAAGCCACCCAGTCTACTGACCAAGTTCTACACGAACAAACAGATAGGAAGATAGGAAGACAGTACGAGAAATGAAGACTGACGGGGATTTTGGACCGCCACTGACTCTGAAAGGGATCTTGCTGATCTTTCTCCTTTTGTTCGTTCTGTAATTTCCGTGTACTGATAGTGGATTGTTCGGTGCTGGATTAAAATTCCCAATATTCAAGCACATCTATGTATTATACATCGTAACAAGATCGCATTCACCCTCAAGGTAATTAAAAAACAAGACATGCAAGCCACCAGAACTCCTAGTAAAGAATTAAATCAAAATCCTGCACACATACCCAGCTCTGCTAGGAGGTCTCTCGCGGTAACGTCAATACCGCCAGCGGCCGAGTCCTCCCTGCCAAATGCCAGGAACAGTGTGTCATCAATGTACCCATGATACTTCTGGCCTTGGCTTTTCCAGCTGATGCTAGTCACGTAGAGCATCTCGGAGTCCTCTGAGAACAATGTTGAAGAAGATACATCGGACTTTTTCGCAGCAGTTTTGCGACCAAAAATCCAAATTGGTTTTGACGAGACCGCATAAATCTCGTATGGCATAGAACGCCGAGTAAGCACGACATATGGCTCATATACGGGGTGAAGACCTTGTAAGGTCTTTTGTTGGATGATAAAAAGCACAAAGGTATTGGTCGTATCGGGGTGGCAAGATTGGTCAGATCGTGCACATAGAGTGATAGCTAGCGAGTTTGTCGCTTGATGAATTCTCTCCGTTGGGTTCGTACTCTGAGGCAAGAATCTCTTGAGACATGCTTGGTCTGAAGTCGCGGTCGCCGGAGCCAAGTTTGGCCCAACGGAACCATCGAGCTCGAGTTTCGCAAATACTCGCACCGGTGCAATATCATGGTGTATGAACACTTGTCCAAAGTCGTCCCAGAAAAGGAACCAATTCTTCTCAACAGCATTCCATGGCATTGGACGTTGGAGCTCACGATACTGGCGGAACTCGTGTTCGTGTATCGTGTCTATGCCCCAGTCCACCAAGATTCGAAAATCGGAGATCCATTGTCCAAAGCACGTAAAGAAAGAATTGGAGCCATAAATGGTGTACGGAATCTCAGGCCCGTAGAATACCCTCGCATCATGAGGCCCAACGCTGAGACTAAAGTATGAAAGGTCGCCGACGCACTTGCTGGAGTCACCAAACGTCGCTGGTATGGGCAATTGCAGTGGTGGTTCCAGACAGCTCAGAACTCGCTTATCTTCTGAGAACGCCGCATTGCAGACGAGTTCAGCAAACCAGACTGATGCCATTCGAGCCGAAGGAGGCTTATGAAGTTGTGCAGTGACGATCCAGGTGTCAAGCAATTCAGGATGGGGTATGATACTGGGATTCATCACGGATCTTCTCCCAAAATCGATCTCAAAATACTTCCGATCGGGACTCGATACCGAGTATAATATATGGTGCGTTCGAGACATTTCTTTTTCGAATTCAGGACGTCTTCCGTCCTCGTCTGCGGGTTGTCCATCCCGGCAGTGAGACCAGGGTTCGCTGCCAGGGACGCCTGAGCAAGCTGTCTCAGATTCCCCGGCATTAATGTGTGATTGCCCATATGTATCAACCGTGGAGCGATACGTGGACAAAAAATTCGTTCGCAAGTCGAGATGGTTGAATTGAAGTTTAACGACGAGGATCACTGCGGACAATAGCCCTGCAATAAGCATCAGGCGTGTGGCTGTTTTTTTGGCCATGTTCAGTCTGGCGTGTGTAGAGTAGAGCATCGGGATATAACAGTAAGAGGTAATAAGCTATATTTCAGAAAACGGGTTGCCCAGATTGGTCACTGACACATTGACTAGAAAATGGGGTCTCGACGGACGCAGGTAGTGGCTGAATTGAGGGGTGGTAGTTTGCCACTAGTCATCGATGGGGAGTAGCGTGGCCGCCTCTGCAACTCTTAATTCCTCGCTAGATAACTACAACTTCTTAAGACTGACATTACATCGACCGTGAGAATTGAGGTAAAGCTACGAAGAACACATGCCGAAATCAATAATCTGACAGGCTTTTCCACTATGGCCTTAGACACATAGCGTACGTCCTTTCATAGCAAGTCTTCATGGTCGAGGTGTATCCGGACTTAGGGACTCCAAGAGTTGCTAGACCTTTATCATACAACAATTTATAATGCAGGGTAGGGTAGGCTTTGCATGAGAGGCTCAAAAACAAATAAGTAGATCATAAACAAAAGCGGAGATTTGTCAAGTTTTGTCGACCAGCGCCTCTTGATACATCCGCTGAGAGAGCCTCACAGCGGGCTCGTCAACTAGTCTAGTCGTCACCTCTGCAAGCCAGAGGGTCAAGGGCAACAAAACCAGCTGTGGGACGAGAAAGTTGACCTCAAGCCCAAAAGGACCAAGGGTAGGCAGGGGCAAACGATTAATCCACCAGGGACAATTTTGGGCATGTGAATCGCGCACGAATCCCACTGCAGCGTAGAGCCTGTCTCCCAAAATCCACAGAACCGGTCCGTGGACTAAATAGAAGGCAAATGAAATGCGGCCCAAGTACTGGTTGAACGGGGCAGCAAAAAAAGCCTTGAGCCACTGAAGGTGAGATGTGCACGAGACAAGGAAGACAGCGGCCCAGAAGAGGTAGAACCACTTGTAGTCGAACACTGCCTGTGGCTTGAGGAATGATAAGAGGTACCACCCCGGCGAGTCACGTAGTTGTTGCAAGTTATCCGTATGCGATGGGACCCCGCCGAGGTAGAGGCTGACATAGAAGAGTAAAGTCATAATGGCTGACTTGAAGGGCTCCAGTCTGCGAAAGAAGCCGGGCAAGTCATTGCGCATGGCGAGGAGATCGAGATCTCTCAAAAGCATGCCAGCAATAAACATGGCAAAGTGCGCCCCATCCGCAATGTACAAAAAGTATACCACCAATGCGACTTCGCCGATCAGCCGGGCGTTGCGGCGAAACCTTGCAAAAGCGATCGCGGCGGTGTAAACAGCCAGAGAGCCTCGATATTCGACGGGTATAGACCAAGCATGGAAATTGTACGTGAACCAAGGCTCACCGCCTGTTCGCAGAACGAAGCTGAAATTCTTGAATTCGGCGTACCAATTCCATAGCTCCGAGAGGTAGCTTCCTTGAAGCTCTGGGATAGCGCGAATTTTAAAGAAATGCAAAAACGTCATGTAGCAAAATGTTGTGCAAATGACAGGTATATAGAGACGAAACCATCGGCGGAACACCGCAGAGGAAAGACTTTTACCTAGTTCGGCGTAGTCGCCATCCTGGATGCATCCCAGTGGCTTCATTGAGAGAACATACCCAGAGAGCACGAAGAAGACGCTGACAGCAAAATGACCCCCGGCGAAGATCGTTCGAACGCCAGGAAGGCATGCGAAATAGTACTTGTTGTCGTAACCGTAGGCTAGCTCAAAGGCCTTTCCCACTCCTGCGCCATCGTGGGCCCAAAGTTGATGATGTCCCCAGTAGACCAGGAGAGCCGCAAACCCTCGCAATCCATCTAGGTATGCGGTCGGCCTGGTACGCTGTCGTTGCTTTTCATTCGTGTTTGTATCGCTATTTGTCGGCCCAGTGAGCAAAGTGGGCAGGAAAGGAGCCATCCATGAAAAAGACGACATTCCATGTCGAGGGTGTGTCCTCTGGGCTAA